CAGACCCCTCAGGTTCTACTGAGTGCTGGTTGTGTTGCAATGCTGGGGGTACTGAAAGCTCAAATAAAGAAAAATAAACCCACTTCGGTAAATCTTAGAATCACTGAGGTCATGCTTGGGCAGATGTGTAAAGGGATGCTATTTCTGTGCAGTAATTAGTGAGTGCAGAAAAAAATACTACTATAGTTTATAGGTTTACACACAGAATGCATATGAATACAAATAAACACTATTTGAAATAGAACTTTTTTGTTCTTGAAGTAACAGGAGGAGAATGTGGTTTATCTGAGCTCCTCCTGAGGACTGCAGAAGCAGTTTGCTCACCAATTTTGTGAAATATCTTGTAATTTTAATTGAGTAATTGTTCTACTTGGTTTGGCCCAAATTGGCATAGATGAAATTGCTGCAGATGGCACTGTAAAAGTCCTGCACCCTGCAAGACTTCTAAAGAGCAGTATTAAATAGCAGAAATCGTCTTCATTGAACAAACTCTTAATGTGAAATTAAATGTTCTCTATACTTTTAGGGAGCTAAAATGTATTCCAATAAAATTCAGCAGTTAGGTGATTCAAGTAAGGAACTAACAAAGAATCTGTCAGGATGCCAAGTAGCATCCAGCCAGAAATGCCCAGCATTTGCAAAAACCTGTGTGTGTGAACCATCATTTCCTTTTAGCAAATCCAGAATCTGCAATCTGAGCGATACCTGGAGTAATTAAAAAACGAGAACGTTCCGTTTTGTGAATCTGATCTGAAATTTATGTCCCTGTGCAAAAATGATCTGCTGAGAGGAAGTGTAGTAAAATTGAAATGTGTTGGCAGTAAATCTAAGGGATGTGTTTCTAATACAGAACTTGGCTTAAAGTACTGGTAAGTCTTTCTGATCCTCTCTTGGTTTACTAACATCGGTTGAGATACGAGGTGTAGCAAACTTCACAGCGAAAGTTTATCACATAATGGAAGTTTTTCAGAGTACAGAAGTCTTGTAATGCATGCTGATTAAAATGTTAGGGCAAAAGTATTTTTTAATCAGCTTTAATGGCTTGAGTTACAGTTGGAGGTGATGTGACCTTGGTTGTTCTCTTGCTCTCTCGTGATCTCACCTTAAGGGCCCTTGGTGTGTGGTTGAAGTGTGGCCATGGTGGTCACTGGAGGTGCTGAGGATTCCAAGGGCAGGTTGGTTTATGGAGGGGAGCAGGCTGGCTCAGTTGTGGTGTCACAGAGGTCCACCTTCATCAACAGCTTGGGCGGCAGAAGCTGCGATTTTTAGGAAGGTGCTGCTGTGCTTCAGATGGAATGGCAGCCACTGTGGGCTCTGAGGCTCCAGAAGGTGCAGAAGTGATGAGAGACTTGCAGGCTGCCAGCTCTGAGCAGGAGCCCTCCCCACGCCGAGCACAGTTAGCGTGTGCCATGAAAACATCCACGCTGTGTGTTTAAACTCCCTGCTGTGAGCGTCTGTTCGTGCAGGGAGCTGTCACATCCAGGGTAAAGGGGAGCCCTGGAGCCACAGTCAGAAAAGCTGCTAGGGAGGGGACACTGGAATAACTCTTGATACGGGGTTTACTAATCTGGCTGGTCAGTTTGTGCCCCACAGGGAAAGGAAAACTGTTGTGCAGATTTTATTTGATTGGTGTGTCTGAGAAAAGGTAGTGAAGGACCCTCTGAGATGAGACAGTGCTGTTACACTGTCACGGCGTAAGCAAAGGGGGTTAGCAGTTCTTTGAAGAACACCCCAGCAAACCAACGTGGTTTTGGCACAGTTCTTGGCTGGCAAGAAGAAAGGGAAGCAACTTAATGCCTTCTGTGTCCTGAATGTTTATGCTCATTTAAAGAAGTGGTTTTACAGTAATTTAATACACACCAGAGAGAATGGGTGGGAAAGAGGAGGAGGACGAAGGCTGGTGACTTACAGAGCAATGTGTATCTGAGCTCTCTGCTTACCCAGGGCATGGTAGGACTGCTGCATAATCCCCCAGGGAATCACTCGTGGAACAAGATCTTGTCTAGCACGGAGGGGGAAGGATGGTGTTTCTGTGTGATGACAACTGTGTGTCTCCCTGAGGTGATTTTAGTGTGGTACAGTGCAAACCCACAGCCAGAGGGGCTGGGGGAGCCTGTGCACACTGCTGTGAATTATGGATGCCGTGGCTGCTGCTGCAGACACGAACAGCAAACTAGAGCTCCTGGGTGCTCCCAGCCTCAGAACTGCAGGAATAGCCTGGTTTCAGAGGCCACCACTTCCTCAGCAGCCTGGACTCTGAATGTCTTTAGAACTTACAGGTGCTGGTCATTTCTGTGGTTAGGACAGAGTGAGGAGGCCACTAATTAGTATAACTGGCAAGTTCTAAATTCTATTCAAGTCATCATTCATTTGATCTCAGTGAGAACAGTTTAATGTACAGACAGAAGAAGTTGCACGTTTTCAACATGTAACAGCATCTTTCTCAAAATAACATTGTTATTAAACCCAGGGTAAGTGACCTGTGCAGCTCAGACCCCTGTCCATGTGCCTGCTTTGTGCTGGATGCAGGAATCCTGTGGCTACCTCAAGCCCTGCAGTATTGGCAGTGTAGGAGTTTGTGTGGAACTGCTTTGCAGGGCAACATAATTGGATTTACTGAGCTGTAGTTTGTCATCTTGCCCTGGTTTAGCCTTCCCTCTTCTACTGTAATCCAAAGTTACGCAGATTTTAAAAAAAAAAACAAACAACTCTTTGAATAAATCATAACCAGCAGAGAGCTGAGCCTGCCTTTACTGTGAGCAGGAAATGCCACCTTTGGTGTGTGCCACCAAGGGGATGAGGAAAGTGTTATTTGTGCAGGGTACGTGATCCTTTTTTTGAGATCCAGAGGCCTTTTTAGGTTTTTGCCCCATGTTGGTGCCTAGAGCAGAAAAGGCCTTTTGTTGTAACTGTAACAAGAATACACTCAGGCCTTTTACAGCTTTGCAAATAACTGTGCTGGAACATATAGCCCAAAGTGAAGATGAACTTAGGGCCCTGAAAGCAGTGGCAGCTCCAGTTACTCTCAGTTGATTGTACCAAGGGTTGGGGTCACAAAAGAGAAGGATAATTTACAGCTTAGCAAATGGGAAAGAAAAGAACTCTTTCTAGCTGACTTGCTGGAACTCAATCCTGCAGCAAACCCCCAAAGTCAGCACAATGTTGAGAGCGATTAAGTGAGGTGTCACTTCTCTTCTGGCAGAAAGAGGGGTGCTGTTTTGGGCAGGTTTATAGATGCAGCAGTTCTTTGCACATGGAAGTTACAAGCTGGCTTGTTACTTAGACATCTGTCAATAAATGTTTTTTTCCTGCTTCCTGTGTAATCACTTTTCCAAGGTGATGTTGGTTGCAGCAAGGTAAACTGGCATCCTGCTTGTTAAGCAGGTGGTTCCTTCTGCATGGATCCCTTCAGTGCCGTGCCAGCAAGGGATGGGGTTGGAGTGGTCAAGCAGTGTTGGGGAGGGTCTGAAAATGCTGAAGGAGCTTTCTGCTGCAGATTTCACTGTGTGCATTCGTGTGCAGGTTCCTAGTGAGAGGCACTGCAGTTACCCAGGAAAGTAGATGGACGTGGGTATATGTTGGTTTGGAGGGGAGGTCAAGGGGCCCCAGCTCACAGTTTCCCTGTTCTCCCAAGCAAGACACCCTGTCACTGCCTGGGCAAACTGAGCTTAGCTACAGCAGGGCAGGAGTAAAGCTGTGGGAGATGTCAGGCATTTTCACAGTGAACAAAGAAGGATGTGCCAACCTCCTTTATCAATCCAGCCCCAGTATTGTGTGACTCCTCCTGGGCATCACTCCCTTGTCAGCCCCTCTTCCATTCCTGCCAGGCCACAGAATGCCCGCCAGCTCCTGGAGTGGGCCCAGCTCGTTCCACTGACCAGCAGTTGCCAGGCTGCTGCTGAAGAGCTGTTGGCCTTCTCAGCACCTCCGAGATGATAATCCCAAGGGAGCTTTTGGAATGGCCTCTTGGTAAACCAGCTGACAGTAGGCATGTGCATAGGTTGGCATTATGCTGATACAGAAGGTAAAACTTCACTTTCAGCCAAGTGTTAATGATGTTTTCTTAACTGCCTGTTCAATTCTTTGTGGATCTTACTTGCTAAATATTTGATACAGCTCTGAATTTTAAGAGATGTGTTGGTCTCTCAGTTCTCTGTGCATAACTGACTTGTTTGCAGCACACCAGCAAACTGGGCTGGCTGCACACTGTCCTGTCGAGGAGAGTCTCACACCAAGTCCTGGGCCAGTCATCATGTATGCTGAGCTGTGGGATTTCATACATCTCATTTTATTAAAAGCATTCTCTGTTATAGTCAGCTTACAAGACTTTTTAATCCTTAAGTTTGATCTCTTCTAAATTTTATTAACGACCTCTTCACTCAGACTTTAATTCAGCATTTCAAGACTGGTAAAAACACTTCTAAGAACAGTAAGAGTATATGTTAAATGTCTTCTCTAGCTTCCCTTCAAGAGTAAAACTGGGTTCTGTAACTCTAGACACTTGGACTTACTTTGTATATTCCAGGGTAAGAAAAAAGTTTGAGAGAACTTTACTTGTTCTTTGTACAGGGAATTCATCTTTTTAGAAAATAGACAGCCGGTGTTTCTAATCAGCTAAATGCTAGGAATTGCCCAGTTTTTTTCCCTTCCTGGCTAATCTCATCACAGCCTTCTCTGGGCTTTTCTGTAACTGCCTCCAAGGCAAACCCCAGAGTTAGCTGTGTGCAGCAGCCCTTGCACAGTTGCAGTCCTGTGTGCTCTGTTCACTCTCACCTCTGTGAAGGAATGCATTCTGCTTGGTCCAGCATAAATGTGCCTTCTGTTTACATCTCCATCTCTGCGAACACTGCAGCCTTCAGAAGCCTGTCTCCCTTTCTGCTGAGCCTGTTACCTGACTCAGGTTCATGGACCTCTGTGGTTTGGCTTCCCAGGCTTCAGAAATCCCTTAAAGCCAGTTCCCTCTCTGTAACCAAACCCCCAACCCAATCATTAGGCCGCGATTCCTGTTTGCAGAGATAAGCCTTTATTGGAGCTATTGGAAGCAATGGGACATGGTTCTGGGTTTCTGTACAGAGAAGTCTGGAGCACTGGGTTACAATCAGTGGCACATGACCCGAGGTTACAGTGCAGATCTGTTGTGTACAGTCAGGAACAGTGGTGGCGTACAAACCACGGCACAGAAGCCAAATGAAGCCGAGTGGACGGTACAGCAGCACGGGAGGAAGCAGCTGAATGTACAGAGAGCATTCCCTTGACATTTGCAGGCTTTTTTGGCTAGTGAGTAGAGACAGCTCAATTTAAAATTCAGTGTGCAGTTATTTTTCTTCCCACTCAACTGCTTCCGAATTAAGAAGATTTGGATGTTCAGATCACATTTTTAATGCTATAAATAGCTACGGTTGTTGCCAAATTACTTTATTTGAAATTTCTTTATTTAGAGTATAGTCAGGAATAGTTCAGTCATCATTGTTCTTTACTGATTACAAATTGGGAGAAAACTGAAGGATTTTCAAAGTGGTCTGTAATTAGACCACAAGGATCTCTTGTACTTCATTTGGAAGTTTAATTCTGGGTAACTTCTTTTGATAGAGATTTATTGGGAAGAAAGATTGAATTGTCTACCATATTACTCATTTGTGGAATTCATTCATAGTACTTAAGGTTTAGATAGTTTAAAGGTCATACTTCTTTGTATTCAATCCATATCCAATCTTAGTGTAAAAATAAACACTCCATCCTCTATGGATAAATAAATCCATCTGTTGGCTGCAGGTCAGACCTTTATTGGTGAAAGAGATTTAGAAAAATAGAGCTTTTCTGTAACGTTTACTATGCTGACCCACAAAGGAAAAGTGAAATTCATTCAAGTCTAGAAACAGAAATACAGTACAAGTGATTTATAGAATTGCATTCCCTCTCTCTACAAACTTGCTGAGCATGAAACACTGCCCCAAAGCACTGCCTCTGTCTTTTCATTGTCTGGGAGAAGGAATTGTCATCAGAGAAGTCACATCATACTGCACTGCCAGATCTCCTGTCAGAAGGGCTCTGCCTCCTGAGGAGTCTTTGCTTAGGAATTATTTAGATGGATGGATGGTGGTGGTTTGGGTTATACAAAGGTGATGATATTTTAACCCAAATTAGCAGCAATTTTAATTGATTTGATTGATGGTGACTTTTGGTGGGTGAAAGCTCAACCATTAAAAAAAAAAAAAAGCCTATGATTGGATTTGGAAAAGGACAGCCTTTCCTCAAAATCTCCACTTCCAAGCCTGCTTCCCATCCATGTCCTCCTCAGCAAGGGGCTGGTGCGTTTGGCAGCGCAGGTTTCATGCTCAGCTTTGTCACTGAGAGCTAGACAGGACTTCAGAAAGCACACAGCCCACTGGGACTTGCTCTGCTGTAGTACTTCAGTGCTTTTGAGAGCCCCCACCCCAGCAGTGTTGCTCTCTGAGAAGTGCAAGTGTCCCAGCCTGGCTCTGGGGCAGCGGGAGGACGGTGACATTCCGCAGTGGGAGCAGTAGTTAAGCACCAGTTACTGGCCCCTGCAGAGGCTCAAGAGAACAGGATTGCTTCGCAGAGAGCTGGTCGGCCTAAAAAGCTTAGTCAGTTGGATCAATAAATATTGACTTAGGGTTAGGATTAGAAATAAGACACTGCACCTTGGAACTGGAAGACAGAGTCAACTTCCTCCCTTTTCTGTCCAAAAGGAGACTGGCTCCAAAATGTTTGTCCTTAAGGACCTTTGTGGTGCCTGACACATAACTCACTAAGCGCCTGTGAATGTACCTGTCCCTTTGGCAGGGAACACTGAATGTATGACTGGACAAAGCTTTGAGGCTTTTTTCTGTGATTTTTTTTTTGTTTTAACCATCTGCTCTGTGTCGTGTTGTCCCTGAAGGCGTGTTTACCCACTCCTAAATTATGCAGCATTGCCCAGAGAATGGCTCTGTAGTTGAACATGCTCTCTGCAGTACAGCCTCCTTTTTCCTCCAGTGGATGTGGATTTCCATGTGATAGATGTTATTAGAAAACTACACTTGTCTTTATCCTGTTATTTTTGAGCAGGGAAGCAGTGATATGAATTTGAAAACACAGGAAATAATCTGTACAGCAAATCAGAATTTTCATAATTAAATTCATATGATCACTAACTCTTCAAAAGCTGTACTGCTCTGAATGCTGTTCTCCAGCATTCTCTTCTTTGAGCAGCATCACTTTCCATCTGCTCAGAAACAGTTCTTTGTGGAAATAATGAAAGAAGAATAAATACTGCCTCTCCTACACTGACTCTGTGAGTTTACAGGACGCCCTTACAGAACTCCCTCAGTTCTGCTGGGAGTGCAGCAATACACACATTTTGGTATGCATAGATCAGTAAATTGTAGCAGTGCCAGCAGTAAAACAAAACTCGCCAAGATGTCCTGTTCCTCTTAATTAAGCTTGATTTATATGTGCCTGTTGACTTAAGATGTGGTTAGTGTCCACTGCTGGGATGATGCAGTACCCTGAGTAACTTTGTATTGATTATGCTTACACAAGCTTGTGCTTTTCCAAGAACACAGAAATGGAGCACAAAGAAAATAAAGAAGTATATCAGGTTGTTTCCATGGAACACTGTTAATCTATTCATAGCAGCTTCGAAGTATGAAGTTAAAACTTACCTTCTGCTCTACTCCCTTCGAAACAGATGAGTGCTATGATTAACTCCCCTTTAGCTTAAAAAATAGAAGTGGATAGAATGTCAAAATACGTTTTGCTGGTAAGATGAACCTACTTTGTCATAGCTAGTTACACCAATATTGGTGACCTGGTACATTACAGCAGGTAGTTGTGGGAGCAGTGTCTGCTCTCCCTTGTTGCCTTGCTCCTTTTTGTAAAGGCAGCTTGTCTAGAATACTCTGGGCACTCTAGAAATAACTAACTAGTATTCCTCTAGGGGGAAATTACTATTATTCCTTTCCCTCCCAAAATTCAGTTGCATGCTCTATACACTGCCTGCAGCTGCCTCCTTATTTTGGGTGGGGTTGCATCAGGAAAAAGAATTTGATGATTGGATTTCTTGTGTTCCTCCTCTGGAAAACCTGCAATCCTGGACTCATTTCTGAACAGAAAAAAAAATTAATCTCCTGTAGCAACATCACTATCAGCTTTTAGCTGTATGGATAGCTTAAACCTCTTATTTCTTACTAACTATTGAAAAAGCAATGCCATCTGCCCCTGCCTTTAGAACACTAAAGCTGCTGGTTTTCCACAGCAGACATAAACCACAGACTCTTAATGGACTTGGAAAAGGCAGTGCAACTTTCCCTCCAACTTCCTATCTGTGATGCTCTACCTGAGACTGGAGAAGGACGTTCTACTTCCGTGTTTCTCTCTCTCCACAGTCCGTCCTGCCAGGACCAGATGTGTTCAGAAATGGTGTTCGAGCAGGAGCTGCACTACACCTCCTGAACTGCAGAGCAGCAGAAGGCAGCTGGAGCTTCTAGATCCAGGTAAGGGGCAGGAATGAGGCTTAAGTTTAATCAGTTAAAAGTGAATTGCAACTCTTACTCATTCCAGCTCCCCGGTACTAATGAGTGAAGGATGGCCAGTTACATTCAATTAATGCCTTTTACAATTAAGTGTGATTTGTTCTAGTAGAGATAACAGTCCAGAGGTTTTCACAAACATGCACTTCAGGCTGGTGAGAAAACATTTTGATGTTGTTTACTTACACAGCATAGAAGAGAATGTAGCTTTAATTATCTTATTGCCTCAAATCTTTGAAGTTAGAAATCAGATAAATTCAGTCTCTGTTCTTAAAATTTTTATATGCTCTTACATTCTTACAACTCTAATTTATCGGTAGATTATTAATTAAACATGGAAGAGTACTCTCCCCCTGAGAAGGCTTCAGTCTGTGCAAGAGTTTCTATAGACTAGGCTTGATGGGTTCTTTTCAAGTATTACTACTAAACTACCTGTGGTATAGTATATATGACCTTAAATTGTACAGAGTTAAGGCACCAAATACAAGATAAAACAACGTCTAAATTCAGAGATCTGCTTTAGAACTGCACATCCCCACACACCACTTTTGGACATTCAGCTCCTCTTAAAAATCAAGGTAAAACACGTGGTCTGAATGTTTCATGCAGTCACAGGAATTGGAGAAAACCCCCACTTTATTTAAATCTTACTGTGTGATGACCTTTTCTCTTACCTAACTCCTACCACTCACAGTGGAGCACTGCCTTGCCTGCACAGCATCAGACAGGCCTGGCAGAAAGAGCACCCTTCCTCCTAAGAGATCCTGGAGAGAGGAACAGGCAGATGTGTCCTACTTGTGCTTTTATGTTATCTCACACAGTTACAAACCAACAAGTGAATCAGTCCCATTATTGTGAGCAGGATGGGAAGAAGGAAGATGTGTCAGGAGCTGGAGGATACCTGGACATAAATAAGTGTGGATTTAGATGACACAAATAAAGCTAAGGAGACATAACTCTGGAGTTAAGTAATGAAACGGCTTCATGGTAACAATTCTTTTAATGCCAAATACTTCACTACTGGCTTATGTGGTTTATGTTGCAAAGAAAGGGCAGGGGAACCTGCTGCCATGGTCCAGAGGCCCAGGACTTCTGTGCCCAGTTTCTCCCGTGAATTGCTCTACAATGACTCGAGCAGAATTTCCTCTGAGAGTGGAATGAACCCGACGAGCCCTTAGACAAGCTGTCTCCTGTTGTATAGACAGCAGATTCAACTACACTGTCCCTTTGCTTTGCTTTAAACAAGTCAATAAAGTGTCTCATTTTTCACTAGATTATTCAGCAGGAAGCCCGAGAGGGTCTGTGTGCTGAACACTGGAGCCGAGTTACTGTTTTTTGAGACAGAGAGTCCTTCCTAACAGAGCTCCTCAGTGAGCCCAGCACAGAGCTCATTTTCATTCTTTTGATGCCAGAGAGGGGAGGTCTTAGGCAGCTTCACGACTGAGAACAACAGTCTGAACTTCATGTTTACACATCCCATCATGTATCCAGAGGAATCTGCAGCCGCAGAGTCTTGTGCTGTTTCCCAGAGCCACCGGAAATAGGAGCTGTTTTTGTAAGCTGCTTCTGTGACTTGGAACTCAGGGAAGCTGGGACATAGTTTTCCCTTGATTAAGTAACAGGCAGCTGTCTACTGAGACTTTAGCTAAAGGCGAGAAGTTCTAATACCCAGTGAGCATATCTTGGCACAAGAGGAGAGGGAAACCTGCCATTTTGTCTGAGTAAAGACTGAAGTACTGTCTTGTCTGCCTGCTCTTCATCTGTACAGACCTGGAGAGGTGTTCAGGAATCCCACCTCTAGACTGGCTCTCAGAAGTGCAGATGCAGAATTACAAATGAAGCAAGGGACACTTCATTTCAGGGAATTGGTGACTGAAAAGACAGGGACTGCCAGGCTCACTCTCCTGGGGCGTTGCTGGGACTGGATCAGGGATGGCACGTTAAAGCTGCTCACATTTATTGCTACTGTGGAGATTAAGAAATGACAAGAGTTTGATGTTCCGTAGCTGAACAGCCAACAAATAGGAGATTTTTTTTTCCTAGACTAGCTGAAAAATCTCCATGCACCTCCTCCTGCATTTTCTACTTCCTAATAATCTGAGGAACTTGTTGTCAGGGAAATTATTCTCAGTAGCTCAATGAAAGCAAAAAGCCTCAATTTTAGATCTGTGCACTTTTTCCCAATTAAGTTCTTTCAGGGCCTTTAGGGCACAGTCTTCTATTGAGTATGACACACTTTAAATCTTTTTTTCCTACTAGAAGGCAAGTGTTCTCAAAGAAAGAATCCTTGTCTCCAGAGATCAGAGATCCTGGACTAGTTTTCAGATCTTTGTAAATGAGTAGAAATAGTCCCCTGGCACATGAATAAGTTGAAATATTTGTAGCAAAACTAGTTTCTTTGAAGTGCTTCATAGTCTGGTTAAAAGTTTTTAAGAATCTAGACACTCCTGTGTAACAGCTGCGTCACTGGAGAGAATCAGCTATTTACTGGGATACTAGAAGGTGATCAGAAAGGGCAGGGCAGGAGGACAGAGTACAGAAGCAAAGGTATTTAACAGCAGAGAAAGTTGTGGCAGCAGCATTTACAGCACATTAAATGGGAGCCATGACAATTGCTGAATCATCTAATTAGCTCACACTGGCTACATGACAGCAAATTAGACAGATTAGGAACCACCTACCCAGGCACTAAATTGCCTTTGTGAGGGTTGGATTGGGCACTGTGTCCAACAGAAATTGCTTGGGCAACCGAGGCCGCGTGTTCCACATTCCCTTCATGAGCATGGGCTGGCCTCCCTCCATCCACCTGGCACCACGCCCAGGAATAAGGTCACCATGTTCCAAGTCCTGAATGTGTGCTTAGGGAAGACAGCAAGCACTGGCAGAGGGAGGACACTATGGCAGGAAGCATCACAGCCCATGCTTTGAGCCAGCCAAGCCCTCCAAACCAGTCTGGTTACTCTAAAACCTCCTCTAGGTAGAACGTGGCTGGAGGAATCTCCTGTGGCTGGCAAAGTAGGACTGAAGCAGACCCCCAAAGCTCACAGATGTTACTCCAAAGACAACAGCAGTGCCATTCACCTCCAGTACAGATAACACATCAAACAGGTCAGTTCCTTATTGTAAATCTCCAGCTTCTTTTAATCCTTTAAGTGCCAGACACCATCTCCCAAAATACACACGATCATCTGGTTAGCTAAAACTAGCGTTGAGGTGGGTAGTGTACAGGCACAGACTTTCCCTGCTCTCCTATTTATAGATGTACTAATTGAAAGGAACTTCTTCAGAATTCTTTTCCATGAAGCAGAAATTCAAACTGTGAAATAACATTTGTGCTTCCCTGGGAAGGTGCTGTGGAATGGGCAGCGATCCTGGCAGCTGCACAGAGCACATGGAACCAGGGGTACGTGTTTGGCTGCTGGGCACACACCGAAGTACAAAGCTCAGGAGCCCTAATGCAGACCTCCAACCTCACAGCAGAGGCACTTCACACCACGCTGCTCTGAGGAGGCTTTTCAGAGGAAACCCACAAGCATTTTGCAAAAAAGAGTTTCTAGGTCTGCCTTGGCAAAACAGTGCTTGTTGCAACACTGATGAAGCAGATGTTACCCAAATTACTCATCAGATAATAGCCTGATACTTCAGTTAGGTTAAAACCTACTGACAGAATTTGGCTGCTCTCTCAAATGCCAGAGATCAGGAGGCACTTACAAGCCTACTCTGTGACCCTTCAATACATGGGGCTATTTTGCTCAAGTTCCACATCAATGAGAGGGGTTCCCAGGCAATCCTGCACTCTTGGGTCTGATCTCTGATTCCAAGTGGCTGCAGAACCCAGGATTCAGGAGTCTTAAGTACCCTGTTTCACATGTCAGGAAAAGGTTCTCTCCACCTGGGAAGGGAGGCAGCAAAGGCAAGGGGACATTTCAGACACAAGTACTGCATTACAAACAACAGTGTTTTAGAGGAATTTAGAGAAAAAAGATCCAACAAAGAATTAAAAAAAAACCAGCAGGAGAGTGGAATACTTAGGATTGCAAGAGTGAAAAGGATGATGGCAGAAAAACAGGGAAATTCATAGTCACAGCAATTCTGATGGAAAGAAACACAGATGGATTAACCTGCCAAGCACAGTCCACGAAGAAGCAGATCAAATGAGTCGGCAAGATGTTTATTATCAGTCCTTGAACTGGACAGTGCTTGTCAGGCTGACAGCAGTTAGGAAAGGAATACTCAGGAGAAGTTCATTATAATGCACCTTAATGCATCTAAACTCCTGTCTGAAGGAGGCACAGCAGCTGCTGCGCTGGGATCAGCTGCTGCTCTGGGATCAGCACCGCCGGGCCGGGCGGGATGAAAAATGAGCCCAGTTTTAAGGGAGTGTCAGACCCAGCCCCGAGTTTGTACCTGGAAGATAACAGATGGAAACCTGCACCCCTGAGCAGGAAGGACGTTCTGATGGCTCATCAGCTGTCCTCCAAGTGTCAGTGAAGGGGTCTGTGCTGCCAGGGCCAGCCCCTGCAACAGCTCCTCAAGTTCAGTTCCCCAGGTGCCACCTGCGAGCTCAGGTTCCTGCCCACAGGAGCAGCAGCTCTTTATCAGCCTGTAATTCTGTGCACATGTCCTGAGCTATGGATAACCTACACACACAGTCATTTAGTGAATCTGATGGCTCAGGATTAAAATCAAACACAGTTTATATTTGCTCTTGAATTTTGATGCAGATAGTCTGTACCAAGACTGGTTGATACCGTTATAAACTGTGATCAGTCACAGGTTTTTTTATGTTTTAATCACTGAATCGAGACCCTAAAATGCTGCTACATTGTCATCAACTTGCTCCCTTTTGCTTTTTTATTTTTTAAGCATTTTTATATAAAAAGAGTTGTTTCCAGCAACTTCAAGTTCTGCAAGTACTGCACTTCTGCAGTTCTGTACTATGCAACTTTGCATAAAGCAAGGTTTAAAAGGCAAATAAAAAAATTAGTATTTTAAAACTACACATATCATGTGCACCAATGGGTCATAATCCAAACCCATTTTAATCCAAGTAAAATGTGTTAAAACATTTACTACAGAACTGAAAACAATTATTTATGGATGGCTGTATCCTGATTTCCAGCTGTAGAAAACCACAGCTAAGCAAATGATTCACGCAGAGATAAATCCCTGCCTGCCTGCCCTCCTCCCCTCCTCTGCACCCGCAGGAGGGAAGCAAACTTGGCTGCTTCCTGAATTAATTTGGCCTAATGTAATTTGATCTCTGCAGATTTTAACTGTAATATCATCAAAGTCTTTCCTTCTTAATTTGGAGTTTAGCTTGAATAGTTTAGGGAAATAATTTCTCTCGTTAGCAGTTCGTTAGTGTCACCCTTCCCACATCCCCAGAACCAAGGGGTGGCCTTCAGAGCCTGGCTTTGGTACCTACCCAGAGGTATCCACAGGGATGCAGGGAATGCAGGGCCTGACAGAGCAGTATCAATACAGCTTTCTATGCTACACAAGAGAAAAATATTTGAAGGAGAACAGTCTGTTGATAAATCCAAACAATTTCTTAAAAGTGTTAGGTAATATTTTCTTTCTAACTGGGGGTATTTGAATTGGGCTTGAGAAGTACAAAGTTGGGATTCAGACCTATGTATTACCTCTTTAAACACCGAGTTAAACAAGACATAATAAAAACGCGCCATATACAAGATTGTCACAGATATATGAGATTCTTAGAAAAAAAGCAATAAAAATATTCTTTAAGCTGAAAATAAAATCTCTTACCTTTTATATCAGGATCTCAGCTTACAGTCACTACATTTCTGCTTATTTTATACAAGTGCATATGGCTATGAAGGTCCGGAGAGAATGAGAATAAAGTGGAATTAACCTGCTGAAAACTGCTTAGAAGTCTTAAGCTGCAACATATAGATGTTCCAATACCATTTAAAAAAACATTCACCTTTCAATTATTGCTGATTGACAATCTCAAAGTATCAACATACAAATATTCAAGAGGAAAAAACCTCAGTAAATTTAGAGCAGCAGAGTTTTTTGAACTGGATGTTTCCCAAATACTGTGTTTTCCTATCATTTGGTGATGGTTTTTAAGAGACACAAAAGCAATCCACTTGACTTTCCAGTTTAGGCCTACCCTTTTTGTGCCTCATATCAATGATGTGGGGAAGAGAGAGAGAGAGAAGATATCATTTAGTTATATTTTGGAAAAAAAAAAATATATTCTGTTTTTTTCTTCTACCTTTTTGCTACATTTCATGTCTGCTGACATACACAATGGTACAAAGCACTGCTGCTTCAGGAGGGACCATTGCACAGCTGTAGCAACTTGGATAGGAGACATGCAAATAGAGCAGAGTATTAAAATTCAGAGGGACTTCAGGAGTGGAAGTCCAGGCAGATGTCACTGCTTGAAGCAGCACTCGGCCCGGATTGTGCCTTGGTTTGGTGGTTGGTTTTCCCCCCCCGACACACCAATCTTTCCCTTTCAGTGTAAAGAAATAACCAGAAGTATATACACATCTATTGCTATGTACCCAAAGAGAGGACTGTGGCTTGGACTAAGTATTGCTTTTTGTTACATGGAGCAAAGTTCAAGAAGTGAGAAAAACACTTTAAAGAAAAAAAAAAGAAAAAAAGGAAAAAAGCTCAGATTCCATGTCTGAAGTTGAGAAACCTCAAAAGGAGCCACGTTTTTTCTTGCTTTTAAGACATGTACAAAATGCCATTTGGAGCCACACAACCTGATGGTTCTAGAAGTCAGAGAAGAAATCTTGAGGGCCCAAGTGAATAATAAAAGGTGCGATGCTGAGAGGCTGGCAATAGGGACTGTCAATGAAAAAACCACCTACAGTGGGAGAAGAGCAGAGAAGCAAAAACCTCACGTTAATTGCTGAGACTGGCTGAGGCTAAAGCTCCATTTAAATTTCTCTGCTCTTTCAGCTGCAAGTGGAATTTTCATTGTAAAATGGGCACTTTGAATTCTTTGAAGGTATTGAAACATCTAACACTTCCAAGGTTACCACTTTCTAAACAAAGAACTGACAGCTCATTCATATTTTCAGTAAAGCAGAGAAATGTAAAATATGCAGCAAGGGGGCAAGTTTACAATGTGGTTAGTAACTCCCAACAAATGACAAAAAGTAAAAAATGACTTCTGTAAATCGTCTGAAATGACTGCCATCATGTTGGAAAAGAGCATAGCGCCCTTCTTGTCTTTGAAATAAGAACAAGTTTTTGGCTTACGAATGTTCATGGTATAGAATTGGTTCGCAGAATATTTTGTTTGAAATTTTACAAAGCTGGGGATTCAGGAAAAAAAAAAAAAAAAGAAACTACAAACAGTTGCCAATTAGGGGAACTCCAAAAGGAGGGGAGGGGGGGAAGTGTGTGGAGGAAAGATTCCTTTAATGAATATTTGATTAACAAAAATGGGCTCTGATCAGCCATGCTTTTTCTGCTCCGTGATGGCTTCCTTTCATCCATAGGCCAGCAAACCAGATCAGTGATTTCTGAGCACCTCAATTTGGGTCCATCCCCAGGCCCTGCTCTGCTCCCGCTGCCGCGGGGGGACACGCCAGGCTCACCCCTCCTGGCCAGGAATCTACGTCTTATTAAAGTACCACCAGCACCAAGGGCAGGAGAGCTCCGGCAGAAGGAAACCCAGTGAAATGGAAACACATTCCTAAGCACAAATACTTAGCTTAAGAATAACAGCTGCAGGTAATTCCAAGGAAAGCAGCTTGTTCTGTAAGCCACCCCTTATTCAGCTTTTCTAATATTTCTTTCCCTCTAAAGGGGGTGTGGGGGAGGAGGAACTTTACGTTGCTTTAAGCACTGGTTTTACACCCTTGTCATATACAAAGCTCCCCCTGCCTCAGCAGCAGAGTCTGTTAGAGAACAGGGGATAAAGGCAAATCTTTGGAAGAGCAGGAACTAAAGCCAGCCTATGGAAAAGCAACAGGTGAGGGCTGAGGAGAGAGTGCAACCAACAACGCTGCTGATTCGTGGGGTGATACCTTAATAAAGACCACTGGAATCCCTCATCAGAGCCCACAGCAGTCCACAATCCATGGAGACTCCAACCGTGGAGCTGGGACCTGTCCTGGAATTTCAGACAGGTGCACACACTCCTCATGGAAAAGAGGATTCTTTGGGTTTGAGCACCGACTCTTAGAAAGTACTGGCCTATGGCTGAAGTGTGTCACTTTTCACAGCAGCACTCAACAAGAACTGGGACAATTAAATAGCAAGTTTTCATGGGGACCTTGTTGCTGCTTTAGATTCTTATAAATGCAAGGGGGAAAAGGAGAACCTTTGGTTTAATACACAATTGACAACTAAAATGCTTTCTGTAGAAATGGTGGATGGAAAATCAAGGGTGGGCAGACAATCTCAAAAGTGAAGAAGGCCACAAGAACAAGTGAAATTTTTTTTCTTTTTTTTTCTCTTTTTTTTTTTGGTAAAAACGGAAAAAAAAGGAAAAGAAGCAGCTTTTGAGCTCTGAAGAACCTGATTGTGACATTAGTGTCGTCCTTTCTCTGGGCAATACGGGTGTAACGTGTATCCCTGGAACTGCATAACAAATCCTTCTGTGGGAACTTCCTTTGTTTAATACTTGTTTCACAGAATGCAGCCTTATACAGAGACAGCCTAAGATTAATTCCCTTTGTTTTGTTTGTTTTTCAGCATTTTGTGTACGAGTGAAAAGTCTTCTTGGATAATTAAGACTGTGTCTAAAATCACAGTTACAGTATGCTGATCTATAAGGAAACTCAGGTACTGATGCTTAACTATAAAAAATAAGATAAACCAATATTTTAACCCAGATTTTACTAAGTTTATTACACACCATAATATTTACAAAGTTAAATGTTAACTGTAAAGTTTCTATCATGTGGTTTGGTTTATTTTTTTTTTTTTTAATTTTTATTTTTGTTTTTTAAAGAACTATGCCCTGCATTTAATTACCCTACAGCAAGTACAGGTCATTAACTGAGTCTGTGTGACTGCATTAGGAAACAGGCAGTACTCTTGTGTTACAACAAAACAGTTTATTTGTGATCAGTGTTTTATATTCTATACATCCTTCACAAATTTAATTTTACATAATCGGATACTTCATTTAAAACGTAAGATTTAAGCTTCTAGTTCTTCCCTATAACAGAAGGCTGGTATAAGTTATTTGAAAATGAGGTAACATTTCACAGAACATTTTTTTCAAGTTTTAGAGAACTAAATTTGCATTTTGTTAAAATCAAAAAGTAGGAAAAAGATGTTTCTTTACAAATGACTTTGCTCAAGTATGTGTTCAAAGAAAACAGGATAAAAAGGCTTTTTTTCTTCTAACATTCTGTACTGTACTGTGTTGTTCAATCAATAGGAATTAGCTTCTGCCATTTGCTAAAAGAATGAGTAGTGGGGAACGGGGTAAGTTGGGAATTTCATAACTGGTAACAGAACCATTCTCTTGGGTAAACCTACAGAGAGAAGAAAGGGAGAGGACTCCAAATAAGTTCAGCAATCCAAGAAAGTCAGATAAGAGCTTTACAGTAGTGTTCTCATTAACCTTTTCCAGATCAGTCAGTCAATGGGATTTCAGGGTGCAGAGTCCCGTGAACAGTAACACTTCACCACTTTGCACTATTTCAGACAGATGGTTGGCTTAAAGTCTGCTTTTATTTTTGTCCTGGTGTTTGGTAAAATTAAAGGAAGTGATATTCTCAAAAGCAGAGTGTGTATTTGGACTTGAAGCTCTACTTCATGGCCTTTATGGTAATTAATCTCTACTAGCTCGTTCTGAGTTCATTTCACAGGCCAGTTGCAACTGCAGATATTCTAGACAGGCACTGCTGTGCATAAAATACAACTCACAGGGAAACTGTTCAGCAGTTTTGATCAGCATCCAGGTAGGTCAGCCAAAAATCAAGCACCTACGGTAAATTCTGCATCTGCTTCCTTATTCTGCATTCCCTCTCCTGTACTGAAGTGGCAAATCTGGAAAGATTAACATCTGCCTGATTTCATGATTATTTTAGAGTTCTTGTGGCCTCACAAACTTCTGCACAATTAAACGTTTGTTTGGTGTTTTAATCTTGCCTATTTAAATTCTAGTATTTAACCTATGTATCCATTTAGAAATCACAAAGCAGCAACAGCAGGTATTCCAGAGCACCAGATGATCAAAGTGAAGTTTCCCAACATGCAACAGCTTACAAAGGCAAAGAGACATGTTTACCTTACAGCCAAAAAGCATTATCCCAGAACTTTGCATCACAATCATAAGACATTAAGAACAGAAACTCTTTATGTGAAAAATGGGGGCATCCAATTCCACAATGCTTTGAAGTCAGTGGTATGTCACATATACACAGCTAAGTGCTTAAAATCCAGCTCCCAAAATAGGCAAAAAGAGGAAAAATCCCACAAAACAGAAGGAATGAATGAAAAAAGCAAGAAAAGCTGCAAGGAAATTTGGTAACAGTTGCATTCCTGTCTGCAGCAGGGAAAGGATTCCACATGTCACAGCGTGTCACTGCTTGTAAAAATACAGACATGCAGATGCCACTCATCCTGGTTATCCTCTGAGACTGTTGCTTGGAAAGAACCAAGGGGATTTTTTAAAAATCCATACCCTGAACTAAATTTCCTTTCATTTTTCCCTGAGGAAACACGTAGCTGTTCCTCGTGTGATGCACCACAAAGGACAACACTCCATGGGACAGCCCTGCTGCCAGCTGCCCTTCTGTCAGAGCACGTGGCCAGTCAGCAGGTCTAAAACTGGAGAGGTTTGCTCCAGTTTTAAGGGGATAATTCCACACTGAGTGCAGCCCGTGGGCCCATCCTCCATCCCCTTTCAGTACAGAATTGGACCAGCTGGTCCCAGTCAGGCAAAACAAACACTTTCCATAAAGCAGCAGCATTCTTCCCTTCTTAGAGCTTGTACTGCTGTAAAAGTCATGAAATCAACATTTCAAAATATTCCAAACTTTTATAATAGTATCAGGGGAGTTGGCATTGCCCAAGTGACACAGATTTGGGAGGAATAAGCACTGCAAATGCTAAAAAGCCAAAGTTTCCCATAGGAAAAAGTGCAGGCCTTGAAAAGTGCTGGCCCTTTGAGCAGCAGGCTGTGAGCAGTCCCTGCCACGGGACAGGCTGCTGGGACTGGTTCTGGGGGGCTCAGTTGTGTGTGCCAGGACATATCACTGACTCCAAACTGCTCTGCTCCCATTGCCACATAAACCTCATTCAAAGTAACCAAAAGGGCCGGTTAGAGGAATGCATTGTTAGTCCAGCGTCAAACAAGCCAGTGGGGAGGGAGGGAGAAGCCAAGTTAAGAAAAACCCTTCCATCACAGCTCTCTGGTCATCAGCTCATTTTACAATCTCCATGAAACCAGTGCTTTGCCAGCCTAATATCACACGTTTCATAGTAAAAAGCATTGTGGCAAATGACCATGTCCTGGCTGCCTTCAGTCTGTCACTAACAGTCCAAGCAACCCAAACCCATCCTGTTGTCCCAAGCAGTGGTGGTTTAGCCTGTGGGGGTGGGGGTGTATTTGCCCATAGCCTTCACAGAGTTGACAGCATTAAGGGAGATTTGTCCACAAGCCACTTACACTTGGGGACAAACATTTCACCAACGTTACTGTAATGCCACTTAGCTAAATGTGGGTCAGAGATGCTGAAATAGGCCCTTCGGTAGTCTTTGAATGGAGCACGGGTTGGCTGTAAAAAGTAAGGGAACTACTTCCACTGGGTTCCAGTATAAAGGGAACAGGCAATTAGAACAAGCAGTCCTTCCACAGACCAGGCAAAGCAGAGGCAAAAAGCTACTCCAACCAAAAAAGAACCACAAGGTTATGGCATAAGAGTGTTTTGTCATGGTTTAAGAGCTTTAATCTCTCCGAGTTTCTCCTGGCCCTGGCACCCGTGGACAGCCCCCCCCACTGTGCCCAGGCTCGGGGTGTTACTGACAGTGTGTACCTACCGTAGGCTGGCGCCGCTGTGCTGTACCCATACGGTGCTCCATAGCCTGCAGGGAAACACAGACAGGGTCAGGCACACCTCACTGCACCCTGCAGGGGACTGCAGCAAAGACAGACACCAAAACACCAACATCCTGTGCACTGGCCTGAAGAACAAGCTACCCAGGGACTGCCTCAAGCCTCAGCATCAGAGTTAAATTCCCTATTTCCTTTCCTCAGCATTTTCTTTTCAGCTGAATCCCTCAAGTCTGCACTGTCAGAGCACAGAGTTGGCATGACCCAGAGATCCCATATTTGCTTATGTGCTTCCTAAAACACAAGTGCAGTCTATGCACAGAACAGTCATTTTCCTAAATTTCCATTATGAAGAGGGGAATGCTGTATGCCTGTGGCAAATGCCACATCCCCAGTGGTAAAGCTCCTGTGAATTTTGCTTTCTCTGGCATTTCACGCAGACAAAGTTCCACAGAGGACACCTGAACACCTCCACATAAACAGAGCAAGATTGTTTTCCCTCAGAGAGCAAAGTGTGACTCTGGAGTGAGACAAAGAGCAACAGAGATAACACCAACATTGGTCGTCACTACATCTCAGTGGTTCATGGAGGCTCTACAGGGGGTTTTTCTGTTGAGATTGCTTGTGTCATCACAAAAAGCAAGAGATTTCTGACAAGAATAGAGGATGGAGAGAAATAATCTGTGAAGGCCAAGGCCAATAAAAGCTTACCTGCAGCAACTGGGAAATTAAACTTATTTCTGGAGTAATTCCACACTGGCAAGAAGCATGCCCCTGGCAGGTTAAAGTGTCTCATAAATGACTCCTCAGGCAGACAGACAGTTCCAAAAACAATGTTAACAGCCATTAAAAATGAATTACTGGTTTTTAATATTTAAAATGACATGACCATACAGGAACAATGAAGACGGCAGGCTGCTGACTGTGCCAGGAAGGAAGGCTCCCAAACAACAGGGCTGTGCTGTTGGCACACTGAGCTGCTGGAGGGTGTAATTAGTGCTCATGCTGTAATCTGAAAACCTGAGCATGAGGAATGTAAGTGTTATTTTCTGGAAGCTACTGGATTTGCTTTGACTAAGGCATCTTCAGCATCTCATTCTTACAAATCTGTGGTTCTTAAAACAAGTGAAAACAATGTCTGGATTCCCTTCCCTGTCATCTACATGCTGTAGAGTCACAAAGAAAATGCACTTTGAAAAGTAAGGGGAAGGAGAAAGTGTCCGTTTTGTTAACTTTTTCTTGGTTAAATGTGAAATGGGAACAAGAAGCCTTTGGACTTCCAAAGCAGTTTCTGCTATCAGAACAATGCATGACTCCAGATCAGCCAGAGTATGAACAGAAATTCCTTTATTTTTGGCCACCACAGAAGCTACTGATAGATGCTTCCAGGTGCAGTTCATTTAGAAAGTTTCTGGGAGCTCAGGGACTCTGGAGCCTCCCAACTTCATGTCCACAAGGGTTTCTTGGGAAGGCCACTCCTAATGCTAAACAGCACATGATCCAGGAGGTTCTTAGGTAGGAAGAGAGTTTTGGGAATTGTGCCATGGCAGTCAACTATGAAGAAGACAAATCATAAAATAATAAAGCCAGGAAAGCCATTATGCCCATAACTGTGCTCTGTGCACACCAAGCTTCAAGTTGTACACTCATTTTAAAGGACACGCACTGCCAGCTTTCCATCTCTTTGATTTATTTAGAGCCCCATGAATTCTGCCTTCTGCTTCATCTCAGATGATTAAAGAAATCACTTACGCAGGTGACTGGCACACATGAAAAAGAATGCCCTGGCAGACAAAAATTAAAGTATCAGCTCTGAGTGTGGTGCCTTACCTGGTGTTATGTATCCAGTAGCAGCAGCTGCCCCGACAAATGCCCCTCGTGTTAAAGCACCTCGTCCTCTGCCTCGAACAGCCTGGGCTGCTGCAGAAACAGCTGTATTGACAACCCCTTTAGTCTGCCCAGAGTGACAAAAAATAGCAATTCAGAGAGTGAAAGTGTTGCTGGAATACAAGGCCACCTGCATTAAATGACCCCTTTCGGAGAGCTCTTTAACATGCCAGATGTGCCAGGCTGGCTGGGCACAGGCTGGAGCAGTCTGTGCTGGAGGCTGTGACTGACAGGAGCACGGCAGGCCCCTTGCCTGGGCACTGACTGCAGAGCCCAGCAGTTCCCTCACCCAGACCCCGTTATTTACCTCACATTTGGTCAGCACTGAACACCCCTGGCTTCTGACCCTCTCTCTGCTGCTCCTCCCTGCTCTTTTCCCACCTCCTTACAAGCTTCCTCTCCTCGACCTACAGTACTGTCTTGGCTTCTGTCTTACCCTCCTGAACCCACTGCAGCAGGCCAGGATTTCACCCCAAAGACAAACAACCACCTCACAACAACAGCAGCCTGTGTTAACCTTACTTTACTAGAATGTTGCCTCCTGTATCAAAAAACAATCCAGAGCTGGGATAACAAAGCAGTCCAAAAAGCAAGTAACAATTCTTACCTGAGGAAGAATCTTCTTCTTCTTCTTGTTCGCTGCATTAGGCCCAGAAAACAGTTTTTCAAGTGCTGCTAATGCAGCACTTGCTTTTGCTACCTTCTTGTTTGGGCCTGCACCTCTGAACTTCTGCCCATCTACTTCTACCTGAAAATTGAGACATGAGTTTATGCCTAGTATTGATCTCTGGGAATACCATACTGCACCCACTGGGCTGAGGTGCCACCCACAGAGCACCTGAGGAGGAAAAAATCGTCTTGTGTTTTATGTGACAAATTTCCATTCATTCTAGATATGAAGCTGGTAAAGGATACCAGGGTTATCCTGAGAACCAGTGTATCCCATATACTGGGAATCTGGAAACCACAAGTGCAATTCAGAGAGGAGCAGAATCTATTGGCTACTGGATTTAGCCCATCCCCTGGAGCCTTCCTTGACAGGAATCACGTGAGGCTTCCCTCATCTTCATCAATGCCTTACAGACCAACATCCTTGCCTGCACTGTACCCTGATCTGCAGCAGGAAGGGGCTCTGACCCATGGTAATCAACCCCCCACAACTGCAGCTCTGCTGCACTCACCTCCATCACAAAGCGCTTGTCGTGGCTCCCCCCAGTCTCAGAGATGAGCTCGTACTTGAGACCTCTTCTCTTTTCATTGAGCTCCATCACCGGGTTTTTGCCACTTGCTGTGAGTATGGGACCCTGAGTTCTTACCTAGAGAGACATTCAGGGTGTTACTTTAGAGCCTTTATCTCTTCAAAAGGTGGCCAAAGCTGTGCAGACCTGTATCCCAGGTAACACTGCCTTGGCTGCAGCAAGATGTGCTGTGCTGGCAGAGCACGTGGGAAGTCTCTGAAGAAGGGCAGGAGGACAAACAATGGTGTCAAAGAAGTCACAGCCATTTGTTAGCGAGGGCAGTGTCCTCATGGCCTGGTCTGGTGCCTGCACAACCTGAACTTGGAACTACAACCCTGAGAGAATGCAGAGCTGAAGGTGGGGCCGTGGTGTCAAGTTCCTTGAAAGGGAAGGGTTTATTATGGAGAGGACAGACCAGCCTTCCCAACCCTGCACACGTCTCTGCTCTGTCTAATTACGGCCTGGCACTGCCCAGCTCTGACTGAAGGAGTCTCATACCCCGGGTCACGTGTTTCAGCAGAAATATCTGTTACTGTTTGGAGAGCAAGGAAGGTAAAGCTGAGATCTCAGCACACCAGCGGATCAGCCTGCAATGGAATGCTCTCAGCCACGGTTACAAACAAGGCAGTTGGGTTTAAAACACCCCCTTTCCCTGGAAATTTCTCAGTGGACTAAACATGTATGTGATTTGAGTTATCCATGATAACACACTGTCTGGAAATTAAGTGTCTCCCAACTGAAGAAATTCATGTTTTAATATCTTGACAAGTAGAAGAACAGGAAAAAACCCCAGTAAAAAGCAAAAACCCAAAGCCCACATCTCTCTGTCACTTGTACCTTCCAGGCAGTCCTCACCTCTAGGGTAGCAGAGTTGTCCGCTGTGGAATTTCCAGTATTATTGCTTGAGATTGAAGACGTAGTTTCATTTTTACCTTCAGTATCTGATTTTTCATCAGAACTCACACACTCCGCATCTGCATCAAAACCAGTGGGATACCCCATGGCTTGTAAAACCTACAACAAAGCCCCGGGAAATGAACTGTGACAGAGGCAGCGGGACAGGAACAAATACAAAGCTGATCACAACACCAAAAAACATCCATACACTTAATACAAGCAGATTGCTTAGAATGGTAGTTTTCTCCTATTTAAAATGGAGATAACCATTTCAATGGATATCAGTGGGGAATACAGTATCAATGGGAAAATAATTCCAGGTTTCTAAAAGTGGAATCAACACAAACAAGAATTTTAGTCTCAAAGATAGCAATTACTCATGAGCATCATTCACCATCTCAAGAATTCCTTGTAAAATAAGAGATTAAAGACACTGTTTAAAAGCCCAATCACACATGATGTTTCCCCTCTCTGTGTCTATGGACAGATCAGGAGATGGACTGTGGGGCAAACAAGGCAAACAGTCTTGTGAGTATTAAAACCTTGTACAAGATGGTACTTCTGGAGCTCAGTTCCTTCAAAAACATGCTCCACTAGCAAGGCCAGCCTCTCCCTTAACCAGCTTCCTGACCCAGCCGTGCAGAGCTACCAGAGTAAAGGAATCTGAGAGGAACCTGAAGCTCTGCTGAAAATTTAGTCCCAAGAACAAAGTCTGCAAAAATCACTTTGTTCCAACCCTCAGCTGAGAACTGCACAGGTAACCCCGGGCTCAGCTCCCATGCCATCGGGGAACATCTGGATGCATTTTCAGGGCTTCTGCATTTTAAAGAGGTCAGATTAGAAAGTGAAATGGTCACATTATTCCCTGTTATAAGAGTGGGAAGGCAGGGCCTGGATCTGCTAGGAAAGGAAAGAAAGAAAAAAAGCAAGTCTCTACCACACCACCCATTTCCTCTTGGCTTGAATCGTGGATGTTTTGATGTGTAAATTTAGAGAAAACAGAGCTGGGTCGGCACCAGCACAGATCTGGCTGATGCAGAGAGGTTCAAGGGCAGAGCAGTCACAGCTTTTCAGGGCAAGTGGGTTTTTTGGGTCTTTTTTTTAACAATTGCAGGGAGGGAGGCAAAATAAAAAGAATAAGGCAGAAGGTCTGGAAGGACACACATGCAGAGAGCTACTTTTCCTGGAGGAACAACACATGCCCTCAGATACTTCTGGACACTTTGAACTTGAAAGCACATAGGACAATGGGATTTTGAAAACTGAAGTCAAAGGAAAGCAGAAAGTTGCCAGATGAAGCTTCTGAAAAGGAAATTCTTGTTCAAAACAAAACAAAGCACAGAACGACAGATGGGCCTGTTCCTGTCAGAGGTGCAGTTCTGTTAACAAAGGTTCTTTCACAGAACCGGTTAGGTTGGAAAAGACCTGTAAGATCATCAAATCCAACCATGGGTTACCCCAGCCCTGCCAAGCCCCCACTGAACCACGTCCCCAAGCACCACATGTGGGGTGATGCTCACACTGGGTGTTCCAGTCTGCCACTGCTGTCATGTAGAGCACCCCCAAGAAGAACAGCAGGTTGACTCGTCCCAGAATGAGACCACAGTCCTAGTGGAAATTTGACTGGAGACCCATCATTTACATCCACTGCTCCTCCCAGTACACAAAGGTACTCTTTCAGACACTGAGGCCAGGAAACAACTCCATCTTTCCAGGTGCTCACAAGCCAGGAATGGACAGAAGGAAGGGGAGAAAGAGGGAGCCACCAGCATGCTGTTTCCAGACCAACATAGGAAGGAATAGAACAGAACTCAACTGAATCCCCCCCATGCAGGACTTGACCACCACATTCAGTCCACTGCAATATGAGCTGACCTGCAGAGCCCTGGCAAGTTCTGCCCCCCAACAGCACAAAACCAGTGATGCTCTTTGAACCATGCCCAGCTGTGTTTAAAGCACACAGGAAGCAGATCAGCTTCATCCAATGTTTTTTTAATTTTGAGGTTTCATATTTCTAGTTCTATCCACATTTCATACTCTGTCCCAAGATCTGGGGTTAGCAGATTACTTGAGGCTGCCTTACCTTCACTGCCACATGGAGCTTGGCTGTTTTCTTAGAAGGTCCTGATGCTTCATAAGTCGTACCATCAACATCTACAGACATTGTGAAGACTGGGGCATGGACTGGACCAGACTGTGACAGCAGCTTATACTGAAGCCCTGGCCTGATTTGGTTCAGCCTCATCAGAGCATTCATGAGATCTATTGCTTTACTATCTAGTACTAGTACGAGATAGTAGAAAGGGTGGGGGAAGGAGGGGGAAGGAAAATGAACAAAACAAGATGAACAGAAAAATGAAACAGTTTGCATTTCAGTGCCTTCTGTTTGTATCAAGGAGCAAAACCACCCCTTGGCCTCTCAGAGGGTGAGGAGAGCCATAACACTGTTAAGGCTTTAATAAGATTAATTATATCATTTAATATAAACTATAATATTTAATATAAACTATATTATTTAATAAGTCTAATTTGGGGTAGCAACTATAATTACCCGTTTTTATATTAACACAACTCTTTTGCAGCTAGCTGTACTCTTCCTGGCTGCTATAAAAGGAGTAACAAGTTTTATAGGTAGTGGGGAACAAGGTCCAGAGCTGGCACCCAGGTAGCACAATGCAAATATCCCCAGAAGGACTGGATCCCAGCAACGCCAAGAGACCTCCAGTCTGTGCCTATATGCAACATTAACGTTTTGTAGACCAAAAATTTTTATTTTTTTTTTTGTGGGAGGTCTTGGGAGACCAAGAAGGGTAATAATGCAGAGTCCAATCTTCACTCAGCAAAGTCAGTGCAGTACTTTGAAAAACCCACAGTATAGGGACATTATCAATAAAATCCCTCAGCTGCTTGGACAACTTCAATTCTAGTGTAACTTGATGGGTAATCCCAGTTAAAAATGCAAATCATTCAGTTAGTAAAACATGTCAGGGGAAATTCAGATGCACAGTAAGAGATGTGTTTGACATTCCAAATGCGGGGTGATAGAGACAACATCTTTTTGTTCCAAAGACTTTTTCACATGCTCTACCACACCAACACAGAGAAGCTTTTAAAGCAGCTCCCCCTGTACAATAGATCTTTGAAAACAGAATGGAGAAGTGCTGCACTTACTTTTCCTCAGATTACGCTTCATCTTTTTATTTGGATCCTTGTCATCCCCGACACTGTCTTCAAAGGGTCTCTTCAGAGCAGACGAGCCTGTACCTGGGGTATAAAGTTCCTTGTAATATGGATATGCCATTAGAAAAACAGCATTCCACAGCAGGAGTCTGATTAGTCCCACACGGTTCCTTGCTTGTTTATAGTGACAAGAGCTCATCCATCAGTCACAGCTCTCTTATTGCTGCACAGAAGCCAATATTGGTTTACTGCTCAGTGCACCAGGCCAGGCAGGACGTCTGTGGCCAATACCAGGTGGGAGACAAGCCTTGCAAACCTGCAGGGCTGTTTTCCACAGTTACTCTTAAGGCAAGAACTCCACCAGTATGGTTTTTACAAAAAATACAAGTGGAAATTTATTTTTATTAGATGTATATTGTTTTCTAGGAAGAATCCTTGGGTAATTCTTATTATGGACACTCATTATATGCTTTTTGACAGTTTACAGTCTTTACTTCCCAGCATAAGAATCAAATGCTACTTCTGCTCTTCTTTCTGCTTAAAGAAATTAATCAGCTCTATTGTAGCTGTACCCCCACTCCTCTCTTGGTATTTCTAGAGAACAGAAATTCCAGATTTTCTCCTAACTATGAATTATTTAAAAAAAAAAATCACCCCGCATATAACACAAAGAAAAGCCTCTACTTCACATTCACAGCACATAACTCAGGAACTTCACCCATTCTAAATTAACCCCTAGTTTACTGCCCAATCAGTGATTTTTGGAACAAATGATACCTACCTTCTTTGTCAGTTACTGACCAGGAATATTTCTGAAATGACTTATTGGATGGGAGGGGATCCATTTCCAACACCTTATAGATCTGCCCAAAGGCTGATAGTCTGAGGGCATGCTGCGGGGGGACAGGAGAAACAGGGGTTACATCCCAGCAGGACTGCACATCAGCTGGCCAAGTTTGTAGATAAGTCTGTAGACACAAGCCCCCTCCTCTGAGGAGACAGCTTCTCCAGCTGGGGAGAATGCCACTGTCCAAAAATATGCAACTGGTTAATTCCTGGCACACGGGGTGGGTGCGGGGGCAGCACCTCCCTGAGGGGAGCCCACCCCGGGCTCTGTGCCACAGGCACCGAGGTGGGATGTGAGCAGGGCACAGGCAATCCCACTGCCTGAGGGGATTCACACACACTGAACTCCTGCACTCCTGAACTGGGGGGTTAACCTGGCCAGGGTAGCACCCCACAAGAACTGCCAGGACTGCCATGGAATAAGTTCCCCTGGCAGAGGAGAACTGGTGCTGATGAGCTGCTCTCCCTGCTGCAGTCCATCTGCAGGGTGTCCTACCTGGGCACTGTGTGTAATGGCTTCTTTTTGCTGCACTGTCATGTCAGACAAAGCGTCCGTGGGCTCGCGCTCGCAGGGGTCTTGCAGACCCGGCCCTCCTGGCGGGGAGAGAGAGGCAGAGGGATTACTGGGAGGGAAGAGAAGCAATATGGAAACAGGGGCTGACAGGGAATGCTGAAGGCTGGGACTGGCTGCTGCAGAGTGGGGAGCACACCTTCTCCAGCAGGGAGCCAGACCTCATACAGAGCAAGCTGACCCCGAGGTTTTAATCCTTGCAGTAGTGGCCAGAGAACTTAGCAGGGTAACGCTGCACGTGTGTGATAACATGAACTGAAAGCAGTAGGTTTAAAAATAAAAAAATCCAAATAATTTGGACAGCTACATAGTCTATTTATTTGTAACCTCTTAATGAGATCGGGGTTAATTTATGCGCATTCCTTTCGTCCCCCATTAACCTCTCCTGCAGTGGCAGTACTCATTCACACAGTGACCACCATGCAACCTCCTTTTTTTTTTTTTTTTTAATTTTAATTTTACACAAGAAACCATTAGTTTCAGTCCAGAGCAGATTCAGAGTTCAAGGCAGGCATTTCTCATCTAATCCTACAGCAAGAGCTAAATTTAAAGCTGGCTGATCAACCCCTTGTGTTCCTGGGGTTCATTTGGCCCCTTACCGGGAAGCAGAATTCCAGATGCCAAACACTCCATGACTCGTCGCAACGCTTCCCCAGGGCCCAAAGGTCTATTACAAGTACCTATAGATTTTTCACATATAAGCTCGAGTGGCTAGAAGACATTAAATTACGATTAGTATGGACATAAGGGTAACTGTGACTGCAGTTAAATATGGAGGGGCAGAGGGAAAGAAAAGGTTACTCATTTTTAATCCACTACAGGTCTAATGGACAGGCCCATCCCAGAGGAGGCCACATCCTTGTTCATGGCACACGGTTTTGTCCCCTGCTCTGAGCTGCCTTCAGAGGACACCAACTGCTCTCCGCTGTCTGCCCAGGAAGTTGGAAAGGAGGAGCCTCTCAAGCCAGGTCAGGTGAGTGTTCTGCACCTCTCAGAGGGTTTTCAGAGAGAAACACCAGCACCACTGACCTACAGAGTGTTCCTCTCTGGGCACGAGAGCAAACCTGCCCCTCTGGAAGGGTAAGAGCTGCTGGCAGGAGGGGCACTGTCATGGGAGCAGGGTTCTTTTGGAAAGCTAAGCAAGAGGGACTGAAGGCAACAAGTGGGATTCTCTTGCAAATGCTCAGGGCTGCATGAGGCCCACAGCAGTGTGTGTCCTTCCATGGCATCAGTACACTGACAGACTGAAGGAATACTCTCCTTCTCTTCCCTATGCAGGGAGAAAAGGGTCAGGGCTTTAAGGAGGAGTCTCATAGAGGACACTGCTCTCTCCAGTCCAGACATTGCTACAAGTCTCAGGAGATCTGAGACCTGACCTTGTGGCCTTCAGCTCTTTCTGTACTTACCCAGCCTTTCAGTGGTGCCCATGTGGGGACTCTGTTGCACAAATCCCGCAGAATACGAAGGACAATTACACATGATTTTAGTCCATTTGCCCTGGCCTAAAACAAACAAAATGATTCCAATACACCTGCAAAAGCCTGGCCTTCAATTTTGCTTTTCTTTTTAAATGCACAGAGTCCTGGGATAGATTATTTTTTTTTAATTATTACTTAATACTTAATCAGCTTCATGCAAAATAAAAACACTTCTATAAAAGTACAAGACTTGAATTTAGAGAGACATATAAAAAAAGGAAGCGAAATGTCAAGATTGCTTTTGTAGCCTCATGACAACTCTGGACCAGCTGGCTGTCTCCCTGCCACGTTTGCCCTCGCACAGTACAGCACTGGGGTCGGAATTCTAGACCTTTGCTCTAGGAGGGACTAGTCAGAAATTAAAGAGGCATTAAAATTAAAAGTGTCTCAAATTAAAACCTCGTAAGGCTACAATAACAACAAGGTAAGAACAAATAGCCAACCTGAAACCATTTGGCGTGCCGCAGAGACGCCAAGGCCTCCAGGCATTTCTGCCTGTCCAATAAGTCCGGAGGATCTTTCATCGCAACATTATCTACTGGTAAAAATGGGATAAAAAGAGACATACAATTTGACCAAGGGGTTTCTGTCACAATACAAAAAGAGCGGCAGCATCTCAATGAGATAATAAGACTCCCAGAATTTTAAGTGCACTGTGTTATTTAATTTAAACAAGCCATTAAAGGTAGTAAATGTGCACGTGTGCAACAGAAGCAAAGGCATTCACTCCTTGTAAAATAATAGTAATAATAAAGGTGGCCACTGCTACAGACAATCTGGGATCTTATTAAAAATGTAGAACACATTTCAGGGCAGAAAATAGCTATATAGCACTTTTCCTTTTTTTTTTTTTTTCTGTTGGGATGTACTGGGCTTTTTTTCTTCTTCTTTTCCTTCTTTGTGACTTTTATTCCACAAAGGTGGCAGAGAATTTCAAAGCTCCTTTGGACAAGAGGAAGATATTCTCAGGGGGGTATAAAAAAAATTTGTAATAGAAAGTGAAGTTACATCCATGCAATTGAGAATTCCAGAGAAAAACATTGAATATATTTGAAATAGTATTGCATGGACAGTACTAGCCAGTATAATTCAGCAAAAGAAATACATGGGAAGTGCTAGTACAATATTGTAGTTTGATTAGTCTTTCATATAACCAGAGCATATGAAAGAGTGAGAGAGTTTGGTAACTTCCACATCATGAATGGATTCAACAGGAAGTGCCCTCTTGTAAAAATCCGCCCAACAGCAACTGAAATCAACAGAGGAGATTCAAAGATGCATTTGAGAGACAAGACACTGGTATTTTCTGTGCAGGTTTACACTTTTTTCCCCCTTTTTTCCCCTCTTTTTCTTTTTTTCATCCAGCTTGCAACAAACTGCCTTTAGCAGTCACATCTGAGTCTGTGTTAAGGGACATTATGCATCAGTCCCTTCTTCCCTATTTATTTATTTTAATCCTAAGGAGTTCATAGCATTCAGATTCTCTGGAAACTCTGTATAATTGACAGATTTTGCATATCTCTGAAATCAGATTACAAACATACTAGTTTTAGCTGACATGAGAGGAACACACTGGAAGAACTAAATGAACCCATGACTCAACTAAAACCTTGAATATGTTATTTTTCTCTGAATACACCATTACTGTTGACTTAAAAATAAATATACTCTTTTCATTACTCATAATGGTCTTTAGACACCCTTGCAGAACTGAATGAAATACAAAATCCATTTCAAATGGAAGACTCTGCTAGATAAGCCAAGTCCAGCAAGACATTTAAAAAACCAGGACAAGGTAGGAGAAAAAAGTACCATCAGTTTGTAGTTGAATTTATTAGTGACATCTTATTAGTGACATCTCTAAGTACATTTTCAGGGGTTACTTTGAACAGTATTGGCTGCACGAGCAATTGCACCTTTAATGTTAAAGCTGCCTCCCCTCCTATGCCCTTCCCTGGGAAGGTTGCTCTGGTAAAAGCACTTCATGTTATGATGGAAAAAAGAGCCCAGAGCCAAAAAACCCCCCCGAGTGTAAAACTGAACAGAACCAGTATCTTGTCTGACAGGTGATGGCTGCAGTTCACAGCTGCTGGCTCAAGTGCTATAAGCTTATTTTCTAACCCCTGTGAACTTCGCAGCAGATATTTGCATTGTTTGTTATTGCCCTCATCAACAGCATTCCAGGATTGGGATTAATCACTCCTCTTGTCTCTTTTCCAAATGAAGGCTGCAAAGTATCAAAGCACTGGATTTCTTTGAGCACAAAAGGTCACTTTGGAATGCAAGATTTGTTTTTAAATTTCCTTTGCAGTTTCGTTCTTTCCAGGAGTGACGTTTTGTGGCACATGATTACTGAACATCCATCTGTGTATTTCTGTGAGGAAACTTCACTGGGACAATATAAACATCTGCTTAAAGCTCAAGTATTGTATCAAACAAGTACTGTCAATGAATGATCAGAATCTTATTTTAAAACGTTAGAAATGGCAAAGGTGACTGACTGCAAAATGATTAATTTTTTGCAATGAACTGGGACTCTTAAGTGTTGTACCAGGCTTTGCTAAAGTGTGTTGCAGCCATTGACAAAGTAATTTAATTTTTCCTTTAAATTAAAAACAAATAGAGTGTCATCTGTCATTCAGGTGAACCAAAGACCTCCTAAGATTTACTTCAACAAGTTAGAATCATACTTCTTTCTACAGGATTAAGGGTGTTTCCCAAGGTCTAATTTACAAATATCTTGGAGGATTTTGCCAATTGCCAGTTCAGTCCCAGTGTCCTGACGTTGCAGTCAGCCAACTTTTGGGTGCAAGATTCTATTAAACAGAAAGATGAAGAGAACAGGCAGTGAAGAGGGTGAGCGGCTTGCAGCGGGCTCCCTTCGGACCCCTCGGGAGAATGGCATGTTTCTTCATGCTCTGCCAGTCAGGAAAGTGAGACCCAATAGAAATTTCAAATGGGATTGCAAAGCTTTCCTTTTTCTCTTGTAGTTTTAACAAGGGCAATGATCCAAGGAGTTTAATAAAGAGTAAGTTGTAAAGCCCTGACTTTAGCTCCCACTGTTCAGCGCAGAACCAATCCCTTGGGAATTCTCTCCCCACTGCTGGACACATTCTCTTCACACAGGAGCTGCCAACTCCAGTCATTTGCAGCTGTACAAGGAGCCTCATCTTCTCTGGAGAGGGAAGGTCAAAATCTGGGGCTTGTTGCCCCTCCAGAGGCATTGGCCCCGTGGGAGCCCCACTGGCCACGTGTGCCCGGCCAAGGGCGGCAGAGGCAGACGGGCTGGGCAGTCCTGCTCCAGGAGCAACAGGATCTGAGCCCCACTTTGTGATTACATCATTTTGTTGGTACTGTACACTCAGTAACAACAACTGATTTGCAAGCTACAAGGTTTGGAAAGCCCAATTTATATTTGATGCTGTGACTAAAAACTCAGTTCCTTAAGGGGTTTAAAATTTAAACTGATGCAAAATGCAGGAATTTTAGGTGCTTGGCTTCTCAAGTCAACATGAGAAAGCAGAGCTTTATGGGTAGCTGTTTGTGAGAACACTGAAATGCACACACACACTGGGCCACTATTTATTTTTGCTAACGAGCAGCAAAAACAAATAGGACAAACACCACATCTTAAACATGAACACTTCTCCAAAGAGGTGGGGACTGAAGAGAAATCCAGGAATGTTTTTCGATACATTCTGACATCAGGGCATGAAGGCACACACAGCATTCCTACAGAACAGATGGGAGCACTGGGACCGAGGGCCGTTGGCCTGACCTTGCCGTTGGTTAGAGGACAGATTAGTGCTAATCCCACCGACCGAAACCTTGGTCAGTGCCCCGCAGGCTCTGCGCCCGGAGCCCGGCTCCATCTTACAGGGAAGATGAAAGGCAAGCTGAGCTGCATTTCGAGCTCCTTCACTCGAAAGAATGCAGGGAGTAAACTAACAAGTTTGTAAAACTGCATAGGAAGTGTATTTACATTTGGCTGCCGTTGTTCAGGGGTACTGGAAAAACATGGCACTGCTTTGGAGATCAAGGTGTTTTCACCAGTTCCTCCAGTTATTTTCCCTTGATATTAGACATGAAACTTTTTTGGTCTGAATCTAAGTGAAAGTCACCTAAATGTGGTTGGAAGCATTATGAAAAAAAGTATCCCCTCCATTTCAGTTTACTTAGTGACATCTGCACAATGCTTCACACACCTTGAAAAGGAATATGATAAGTGTTCCCTTGTGATGAATCAGTGTCAAGGAACCTGGGCTTTAAAATCAGTGTCAAGGAACCTGGATCCTTTAAAACAGGATCCATGACCCTGTTCCCTCTCTCATCAGCTGTACAGAATGACACACAGAACCACTCCAAGAGAAGTGGTAAAACCAATTTAAGTTTAACAAAAAAAGAGTAGAGAACTTTAAAAAATATTTTAATATACTGAAAACAAAATAGAACACCTACGTATTAAGTATGAGAAAGCATAAAAATTCTAATCCCCCTTCAGTCTGAGTTCAGAAGACCCTGGACTTCATTGCTGCAACAGCATCACTTTTTGCAAGAAAATACTTGGGCAGGAGCCTTTGTGCAAAATTCTATCCCCTTGTGGGAACCTCACAAAACCTTCCCCATCAGAATTTGTTCTGCACTTTGTGCTCTCCCATCAACATGGATCAGCTGCAGCAGCTCCAGGGCTGATCTCAGCATCTTGTGGGAAGTTGAACAACTAAAGCAATGTGCAGTTTATTTTTAATGGCCTTGTAAAGAGCATGGTTACTAATTTGAGAATAAACAGCCAGTGCAATTAGGGGATCTTTGCCATTCATCTGTTCTGTAAGATTTTCTGCATTCAGCTGCTGCCAAAGTGTTCCATGTCTTTGGAAGGGGATCCTTCCTGCCATCGCCTCCAGCAGAGTGAGGAGCAACTGACCAACATTTCCCGGCCCGTCGGTAGTTCAGGTGGGAGAGGGAGGAAGCAAAGGACTCGTGGCAAGTCTAGAAATGGGAAGAGAGCGACAGGGAGTTCCCTAAGCCCACACGGGCCCAGCTGCCTCAGTTGTCATGACAGAGAGTGGCCAGTTGGTCAAAGGTCTGACATCATCCAGTGGCAAAGTTTCTAGGGATAGGTTTGGGAAGCGGAAGCAGAAATTACTGACAAGATTTAAAAAATACAACAGAGTATGGCTACGTTTGCTCTTCTCTACTGCTCTGGGTTTGTTTCCAACCTCCCTGGTCCTACCAGTGAACATTCCTGTCACGGAATTCCTGTCCAACACGGGCACGGAGCTGTGTCGGACATCACGCCGTAGGGGAGAAGGAATGGAAAGGACTAAGTGACAGTTTTCTAGATCTATTTTGCTCTAAGGACATGAGGTACAATGTTCAATTCAGAAGCAAAAGTGCTGTATCACAGCACCGTTAACTTCAATTGTATCCCAGTTAGGAAATTCCTAAAGCCAGAAACATACACATCATCAACCAATAAAAACTGAGGGCCAGGACGACACACTGGCGAGCTTTGCAGGAGAGGGTTTTTACATAAAAACAGAAACATTTTTATGAGTTTTTCAAGAAACTACGAACCAATCCCACTTGACTGACTTAGTTTGCAAACAAGACTGTGCAGCGCCAGGTGCTCAAGAATTAAATCGCAAGTGTAAAGAAAGGAGAACTAAGATCTAATTGTATGTCAAAGTTAACACTGTAGGAATATTGCTGGCCAATGAAGATTAGGCGTATTTACATGAAGATTAAGTGACTGGTGTCTTTTGAAGGCACAGGTAACATAATCTAAGGTGGCGATAGCCAGTCTAGTCAGTACAGCTGATGCACAGCTAAAAGCCTGCTTCCCAATTTAACCCTGTGCTGCACAGTCAGGGCATTTAGCTAGAACAGTCTGAAACCCAAGTTAAAACGCTCTGTGTACCTCCTTCCTTCTTCTCTGCTTCATCTCGGATGAGAGGGGACGTGAGTATCACCTTCAAAGTGAGCTTGGGCTCCTTTGTGTTACGGATAACAATAGCTGCCTCATTTACATGCTCCTCCACCAGATACTTCTCTTCTGTAAGTTTCTGAAAGTCACCAACAAAGATTTCAAGGATCTCCCAATCAGCTGGAAGACTGCAGAATCTGCGTGTGTGCCTCAGCTAGTGAGAAGCCCACAAGACACTGCAATAACAAATAAGGCCTTGCCTTCCTCATTAAAAACCATTTCAAACATTTCTTTTCTAGCCCATACTACAACTGCCTTACCATTCGCTCCATTAACATGCATTGTATCCGAGTTCTCTGCAGTGATCTCTCTGCAGGTCTCTGAGCAGTCCTTTGGGACTCTCTCAACCTCCAGAAGCACAGCGAGAGCCCCAGATGGCTCAGAGTCCTGCAGCCATCCCTTCTGCGTGCGAGTCTGGCTCACAGACCATACGGGTAGAACATGTATCTAATGTCTGTTCCGACTCCTTCCCCTGCTGCATCTGCTCTCCCGCAGCTCCTTTATTGTTGGGAGGAGAATGGCTGAGCATCTGCTCAGGATGAGCCTTCAAAGCAGCAAAGCAGAAGCTGCTGACGTCTCTGTACTGCACTTGCTCCTTTTGTCCACTAATGGGCCTAAACCCTCCTTCCCCCCAGCACCTGATCCCTCTGCAGAACCTCTCCTGTCCTCCATGCCCAGACAGTTGTAGCGTTTCATGAGTCACAGCCTCATCTTTGCTGTAATCCCCACCATAATTCCCCCCAGGATCTTACCTGCTTGTCCCTTGAATTTATTCAGTCTTCACATCTTTTAATTACATCTACTCTCCTGTTTCATCTCACTGTTTTTGAAGCACACACTAACTTTTGTTCTCACTTTCAACCCTCCTCATTTCATGCCTCACTACAAACAAAATTTGCTCTTTAATACTGAATACATCCCTATCATTTTCAAACAAGTAAAATGAACTCTTTACTCCTCAAAAGATCCTTTGCATTTTCAGCTATGGATAGGGCCACATCTCCAGGTACAACATTAGCTCATTAAAACAAGCCCTTTGTGTGAGCAAATAAATGGTGAGAACAGCTGTCAAGAATGGTAAAACACAGGGAGAAAAGCAGATCAGGGGAAAAGCAGATCGAGTTTGGTCGTGGTTTGGAGAGGGGCACTTGCAGTGGAATACCTGGGCAGCTCCTTGGCACCAGTGTTTGTCAGTCTGGAAGCTGAACTGATTGCTCAGCCTTAAACTCAGTCACAAAGGTAGTCTCCCTAAACAAGCTGTAAGTGCTGTCTGCTGCATGCCAACAGCAGAATTAAACAGCCATAAATAAAATGAATATGAGCTCGTGATTAACAGGAGCCAAAGCGAGTGAGTGACCACCTGCAGTGACACATTCTCACCTCAGCAGCACAGAGGGGCTTCTGTGGGAATGCTCGGGGGGGAACCACAGGTTCAGGCAGGAGATGGGACAACAGCAGGGACTGAGTGATCCACTGGAGCAGGGGAGGTTCTGGAACTGCAGTTCAGTCACACTGAGCCCAGAGAGCCCGAATGTGCTGGGTTAGTCCCACACACGAGGGTCACTGCCCTCAGGGCACTGACAGCACAGACAGGAGGAGGCAACAGCAGCAGGAAGATGTTCTGTTTTGTGAGCAAGTACTTCATGGCACCACATTAAACATGTCACATGCCCCAGATTTCGTCCTAGATTCAAACTAAATTCCTTTATATCACTTGTCTGTCTTCCTGGAACAAGTTGCAGCCTTTCCCCAAATACCCTTGGCAGTGCTACCAGGACTGCCCCAGATTAACTCACCTGAATTTGAGCTTGGAGATTGTCTTTAACGATACATAACAAGGTCTTTGTGGGTTTTTCTTTGCACATAAGAACCAGCTCCAGATCCATATCGTCTTTTATCAGCAAGCCCTTTGCAACCAAGCCAATTCTCATCACACCATATAACATCCGACCACCTTGATCCCTGGAAATGAAACAATTTGGGCTAATTAAAATGGCATTTTACTCTGCAGATGCAGTTTAGGAGAACCTTTAAGAGCCACAGTAAAAAACTTCCAAAGCAATGTAAAGACACTTTAGTTTTGAGTCCTGAAAGACTGCAAAAAAAACCAGTTCTGCAGACTGGAAATGCTTCTCTGATAGGTCAGCACGAGTTCTTGTCTCATCCAGTTGTCTCCAAAGGATTTACTGCAGCCTTGGATTACTTTTTTTAAAACAAAAATCATTGTTGGTGTGGGGCTGAGCTGCTGGCTGAGATTAAACCACCACAGCACTGGCAGGTAATGGAGCCTTAGCAAAGTTGGACTGCTGGATTATAAAAACTTCTTTTGCGTATTAAACTGCATGAGCCCCCAAGCACGTGGCTGTGGATTTGCACTGGTGTGTGACAGGGACATATATTTGCTTAAAACTGGTGAAAGGTTTGTCTGCTAAATGCAACTTCACAACACCACAGTAAAACAAACAAAGAAACGGAGAGCAACTGCTGCCCACACTGGGCTCACTGCCATTCCCTGCTCCCACCACAGAAAGTCCAAATATATCCCCTTCCTTCTATGAACCTTCACATGCAGCAGAACCAAGGAACACTGGGACTCTTATTTGGGAGGAGAGGAAGCGCTGAGAGCAGCACAGGGACACAGGGGGAGGGGAGGGGAGGGTGAGGCTCACTTGGCATTGCCTTCCACAGCTTCCTCCTTGGCTTCCACATCACCCTCACACCTGGTAGACTTGTTCTTTTCATCCATCCAGTCAGAGACATGCTTAAGGGCACATTCTACTGTTGATACCATGTTCTGGACAGCTTCAAGTTCCTCTGGAGATGGATAAATGGTTGAGTGTTTCACCATTACGTGGCGGTCATCGTTAGAAAACGATCGGATTGATCTCTGTGGAGGAGTGGGAAACAGGAGGAAAAGAGAGCAAAGTTACTGGATTATCAATAGGACATTGCCTGAATGGGAATCCTCCCTGGCAGGGGTAGTAATGTCTCTTAGGATAACCATGCAGAAGCAATTTCTTTATTTAAATAAACTTTAAAAAGAAAAAAGCAAATGCTTTAAAAAAAGTACAAAAAAAAAATCAGCATTAAAGCAGTAGAACTTACTTTCATTGTTTTTCTCACTTTTCCTTGCCCTCCCCCACCAAGATTCTCTTGGAGAAGAGGGCATGGTCTGGCTGGCTGAGAGTATAACAGAGTGCTGAAGCAGGAGAACACAAAACCCCTGGCTGCATTCCCTTTGACTTGCTTGGTTATTTACATTAACCTTTCAAAGTCAGTGAGAAATCACTTGGACTCTGATCTCACTGAAGGACCTACATCTCATGGAGATACAAACTGTGAGCAACAGCACTGAGAGAAAGGGGGGCTGCCCTACCGTGGGATACTTGCAGGAGTTCAGGTGTTCCTGAATTCCAGCAATCTGTGTTGGGCTGTGCCAGCCTTCAGCAGCTGGATAGCTCAGAGCAAAGGGGAGAGCCAGGGTCCTGATCCCAACCGGGAACCTCACGCCAAGGCAGGGAATTTGGAACATGAGCATCCCAGGGTGGGAGCGGACTGGGCAAAGCACGTGGAAAGGAGGGCAGGCAAGGAGAGAAGATTCCTATTTTGTAGAAGGTGTTGATACTTTCCAAATAAAGTTTTTGCCTATTCTGGATGTGCTGAGTGCAGCCACCTCTCTTCTCTTTATGCCAGGGACAGCAGCAACACACCTTGGAACGTCAGTCAGAGAGCCAGTCCCTCACGTGTGCTGCTGCTGCAGATGGAGTCACAGCAATACAGAGGCTGCAAAAGGCTCAGCAACTGCACAGGGATTTACAAAGCCAGGAATGAAGATGAGCACAGAGATAAGCTGGTAAGAGGAGACTGAAATAATTTCTTTTAAAAAAATTTTCAAATTAATACAGAGATGAGAGTGCTAATTAAAAAAGTCTTGAGTGATATGGCTGAGGAAGGTGGACTTGGGTGGTTGGGTAACCCGTGCTAGGAAGCTTTTGGTTTGTCACACACTCTCCAGGTGAGACTTCTTTGATCTAAGTAGTGCCCCAGACCAGCTGTGATCACAGCACACACCTCTGGCAAGAGCAGCAGTAAGTCTTGGTCTCTACAGACACATCAATCACTCCTGAAAGCCTCCCAGACCTGGGAATCACCAACCAAGAACCTCTGTTCCTCCTACACATTAAGCACCTTAATTAGGTTTCATTTTCACCCCAACTCCATGGGTTTGTAGCTGTACCTATTCCTAATAACACAAAGGGCCTTTAAAGGACCTCAGAGGCCTCTGGGCTGGATCCTCATTAAGGAATTGTCCACGTTTTCCTGGTTTATTCCACTCACTGAGTCCCTTCCATTGAAGGTCAGTGTGATGCCATTCCCTTCCTCACTCCTGTGCTCCCACCCAGATGGATAATTTGGGCAGTAACAGCAGTACATCCATCAGGGGCTGGTATTATCCCCTGTTCTTTGGAAGGCTGCAAAACACTTCCAGGAGGTCCCTCTTGTGGTTATCCATAACATGGATACAGCAGGAGCTGCAGTTTAACAACTCATCCCACCATGTCTTATCTTATCTTACCATCCAGTACTCCATACTGGAACACCTTTACAAATTCATATCTCAGCCATTCCCAATGTGGAGCCAATCCCAGGCAGATGAGAGGTGACTCCTCACTTAACCAACATACACCAGGTATATCTGGCTAAACACATTTCATCTGCACAGAGCCACGTTCAGTCACACACAGGTATGAATAATAATGCTTTTGTGAGAAGAGGTGGAAGGGGAATGTCAGCATTTGGTGATGCAATCTGCCAGTTCAAGGTCACTGATGCTGTTTGCTACAGCCTGCTAATGCCAGTTTTATTAGAAAACCTTATGAGCATCCCCTTGGTTTGTATTTAATAATTCATGTACTGCAGGCTCACAAGACAACTCACTGGTTTTAAGAGGCTGACAATACATCAAACCTCACTTGCTTTGCTCCAAGCACGCAGCACCATCCCTCAGTTAGTGCAAGGTCAGAAAATCCCCTTCCTCGGGTTTGATCAGGCCCCATGCAAGACTGGCAGCAGAGAACACTTTTAATGCAGCCCTGTGAAAGACAACAAATACCTACCATGGTTTGTTAGTGTTTCAGCTCTCTCTCCCTCCCTTTCTCCTTTTCCCTCCTCCTCGGTGTCTTTGCTAAGCACTGTTTTGCCTGACAGAACCTCTTCATAAGCCTCTCAGTCCCTTGACAGCTCAAGAGTTCATACAGCCAAGATGCTCTGGGAGTCACTTTGTCTAATTCACCTGCAAAAAGAGAGAAACAGCTTGAAAGCAGCAGCAAGGGCATGAGGATTCCAGAAGTGCTCGATGCAGCACATGGAGTCCAGCAATGCTCAGAGCACACAGGCTTTGAGATGGGAGCAGCCTCTGATCCAGTTACTCCCCAAGCAGCAGCAGTCACCGGGGAAAGCAGCTCCCTGTGCTGTGCCCACACATGGAACGACTGTCCCGTGTCAGAGCTGATCTCAGGGAGCTCTGTCAGCCACCTGGCAATCCCAGTTCCTGGGATGAGGGCAGGAAATCCAGCACTGCAAACATGCTCCTTGTGAAACCAGCTCAAGAAGTCTCTGTTTTTATGTCACATGCATGTTAGCAATCAAACACACCATATTTAATTATCAAAAAGTAATTATCTTTTGAAATCCCCAGTGCAGCCCTCGACCCTGTGTCAGATGCTGCACAACAAGAACCAAGGCTTCAGGTGGCAATAACTGCAAGTTGTTATTTAAAGAAGGACAAGCACATTCTCCCCAACTGCAGACGTCAGACCTGTGAGCAGCTCAGCTGAAATCACCCACACCGCCTGTGCTGCCCGTACACTGCCTTTCCCAGCACTCAGCATGGAAAAGATCCTGTGAGAGCAGCCTTCTTGTACTAAACTGGGAAACAACCTCCAGCACTGGCAGCAGAAAGCTGCAAATAAATGCTCTGTGAGAGAGAAGAGCAGAAAAACAGAGCAGGTAATGTGAGAGAGGAAAGCATAAGCTCGCTGCACAGCAAGACACTCCAGTCCTTGCAGAAAATTCCTGTTTTCCTTTCACTGCACATACTGTTGCATCAGCTCTCCAGCAATGTTTTGAAGCAATTGCAAACCCAGTCAGTAAATCTGTGCAGCCTGACACATGCACTCAAACGTTTTCCTTTTCTCCCGTATGCCGACCCCCCTTCACCTGCAATATGTTGCATATTGTGTGTCAGAGAATCCTGACATTGTTAGAGATTAAAAGTGTGCTTGGCAACAGCAGAGGGGTAGGTGAGATGACTTGAAAGCTGAGGAGATGCTTAGACTGTGGTGTGATGGAATAATTAAAATGTTGCATCCTGTAGAGATTTGAACTTAACAGGGGAAAAGGCAACAACAAATCCTACTTCCCTATTTGCCTAGTTCGGAAGAAATTAAGCAGGTTTACAGGACCAGCAGGTGCCTGGTAGTTGTTTGTATTGCACAGCCCTGAATTTAGGGTGCAGAATTGGGTACAACAAAAAGCAGCCAGACAAGAACAGTGTGCAGAGCCCTGCCTGCTCCAGCAGCTGCAGCTGCCAAGGAAGAAACCCCAGGAGAGTTAAGTGCAGTCATACTAAAAATACTTGGGAAAAGCAAGCTAATGAAAACCCTGACTGCCCCCACTGCTCATCACAGAGCTCTGTACCCACCAAGGTGTATTAACACTCCACCAAATTGCTTCCCAGAAGCAATCAGAGAAGGGGGTGTTCTTTCACAGAACCAGCCTCTTCTCTTAAGAGATCCTGAAAGCCAGGCAGGGGCAGCTGGGAGGGAAAATGAGAAAAGATCAGTGCTTTGGCACTATTTGTTCAGTGAGCTAGTCAAGCTTCTCCACACTCCACAGCCTTTCATCACCTCCAGAACGAACCAGACTCTTTGCAAGGTCTTTTTGTTTTGGTAACAATAATAACAATAACAATAATAATAATAGTTTGAGTCAGCAGATAGAATACTAGAGGGACTTCTATGAGACATGTTTCTAGATCATCTATTTCAAATTATTCTCTCTCCACACTCAATTCCAGCTGTCTTCACCTACTCTTCTTCCCTGCCACTCCCACACTTCACCTTTTCGGTTTGTTATCCTCTCTGGTGGCTGTAATTTGGCCATTCCAGGCAGAGAGAAGGGCACTGGAATGTGTTGCTGAGTTCAGCACATGCCCAGTGCAGTGTCTCTGAGGGAGCAGCACCAGCCTGGCCTCCCTCCCCAGCCTGCTGCAAGCTGTTGCTTATCAGCTCACACAGGGCTCTGGAAGCAGATGGGCAGAGAGAGCTGGCTGGGCAGATCCTGGTGCTCAGTAAGTGCTGAGCAGGCTCTTGTCCAGAGGGCAAGTCTGCAAGAGACACCACGAGCTCTGCACACAGACACTCCTCAGGGGGCAGTTCGGGATGTGCCCAGTGCTTTTCAGTGTTTGAAAATCCAGAACGGACCAAAAATAAGTGTTTCACAGCTATGAGGGGGGGTTAATCTGCTGCTGGACTGATGAAGCACAAACATCCCCACCTCTCCATACCCTGCCTTAAGCAGGCAATAACCTGTTCTCTTGTTTTCAACAAGACAAGTTCAATTTTCAGTGACAAGTAAAAGTTGTTGGATGAAGGTGTTTATGAGTTTGGTTTCACCTGCCCTGTTTCTCAGCAGGGCATGGCTGAGGTCAGGGCACAGACAGCTGAACTACAAAGGGATCTTTATTATCAAATTCAGAAAGCTGGGAAAAAACCTCTGAAAGTTGAGTTAAAGCTGATATACAATGTCTTCCCAGTCATTAACATCCTACGAATATTTCAGAAACGCACAGGAGTGAAACCCTAATTTAGTTCAGACTTTGAGAGAACATTTTCAACAAAAGCACTAAACAGGAGGGAGTTTACTATAAAAGTGTAGACACAATATACAGAATAAAGTATATCTGACAGCATGCAGAATTAAATTAAGGAAAACCAAAATCAAATCTGCTCCAACCATATGGACTAAGGCAGCACAACATAGCTCAGCACCAAATACATCAGAAAGCATTATGTGAATTGAGCAGCAATTCCATAAATCCAACAGCCTCATTCCACTACCAGGCTAGAGCAGGATATTTGTTCCTGCATCCTCAGGGAAGTTACAGCTGATGCCCAGTCTAAAAAGCACAGTGTTAAAACATGTGGCTGTCTTACCCAGGGGCTGCCACCCACACTTGCAAGGAAACTTCTACCCAAAGCTCCTTGCACCAACCCAGACCTTGGTGACCTTGAAAAAGTCCCTTTTCCTCTGCATCATGTGGCCCTGAAGTGTGAAACAAGAGTAAACAGTCGCTGTCTCCAAACCAGGTCACGGCAGAGCCGAGCGGAGTCTGCAGCGTGGTTTAAAATCACTGGGGATTTGACACGTTAGAAATGTTATTAAAACACCATGACAGTGTAGCAACAGTTCCATTAAACATCCCATCCTTCACAGAGGAAGTTTATGCTTTGGCACAAGACAAACGAAAAGAATTTCAGATGAGGCTTTTGTAGTAGGAGATATTCCTGCATCTGCAGCTGCATTCCCGAGGGACAGGCAGTTAAACAGCCAGGGGTGATGAATATGCTCAGCTGCCTTGGAGTGCCTGTGAACAGAGTGAAAAGGCAGCAGAAACAGGTACGTGCATTCCACAGGGACTGAAATACCAGAATCAGGGAGCCATGAGCTGCTGGAAAGGAGACATGAACTGTGTTTGGCATCCCAGTATCCCCCTGGAGCAGCACCTTGCACAGAAGGGTTACTGGTGCAACAGAGAAGAGGGAATTGGGGTCACTCCACACCAGTGCTCCAAACCCTCACTTCAGTCAGCTGCTGTTCAGGCTCCTGGCCAGGCCAAGTAGAACACCATGAAAATTGGTTTTTAATGCTCCATCGAGAAGGCACACGCTAACAATGTTCAGCTGAAGCATTAAAAACACCCTCCACCCTCCTAATCTAGCCTGACACCAGTATCTGCCCAGTTTGCAGTGTGCACCACCCCACGAGCAGGCAGAGCTTGGATTAACAGAGCAGCAAGGTTGCTAATAACAAACCAATGAGTATCCAACACAGCCTGAGGTGTATCAGACACAGTAATAGAAAAAACTGGAATTTATATCCTTTTTTATGACCTTCAAAAGTCAGAATGAGAGGCTTGCAACTTCAAATTGGAAGTTTATTTTAGCCTCTGCTTTGCATTCAGGAGACAGGTAATTTTTCGTCACACCACACAAAGTGCTGCTGAAAATATGTTGTGTTTTTTCTGCAGTATAATTTTATTGCTGGCCTTCTGCCAAGAGTCTTTCTGGCAGCATCTCCCACAGTTGGAAACTGTGTATCTGGGTCAGAAAAGACAAGCGGCTTTTCAGAACAGCTCAATACATTTGGCAGAGATGCTGATATTGTAATTGAACTCCTTCAGCAACTCTCTTTATGATGTACCCAGACACCAAACAAAACAAGATCTGCAGTGTTGATTAATGTCAAAATAACTGACAGAGAAATATCAAAATAGTTTTCCCTCATGTTAAAAGTATCAACAAACGGAGGGGAACAGATAAGAAATTCAATTCACGAGGATTCAGAGAGGAGCACAGGGCAGAGAAATCTGCAAAGCAGGGCTAACCTGCTCCCTGTGCAGATATTCCCCAGTTAAAATCCCAGCTCCCCGTGCACTGCACAGAACTTCTCCTTCCCCACCACAGGAAGAGAAATCCTGGCCACTCTCAGCCCCAGCAGCACTCTGGAAAGCAGTGCTGCCCTAACACTGGGATACATATTTAATAAGGCTCAGACTGCTTCCAACAATATGCTCAGCATCCAGTTTCACCTGGAGACTGTGTATTCATAGGAGTTTCATTATTTTCCATGTAATGCATTTCCTGGCAAAGTTATGTCTGGGTTAGCCTTTAGAAGGCTGGAATTTTCCAGCCAAATGAATAATCACAAAGCAACACTACAGTTAAAAGCTGGAAAGGTACTTCCTCTGGCGAACTCTTACACTTCATACAACAAATACTTGAGTCTGGGGTTACTCGTGGCTGTTCAGTTCTCACAACATCTCAAGGAAAGGCTCCTGTGCTCGGAGATCTCTTGAGAGCAGCCTCTGCCAGGCAGCCCCAACAGCCAGGTTTAAGTGCCAAAGACAGGGCAGGCACACACTTGATAAACAGATCTGGAACCTGTAACCATCAGAACTGAGGAACCAAAGTCACCTTCCAGGACCCAGAGCTCTGACAACTCTGACAGCACCAGGAGAGCGAAGCAGCTGCCCATTGTCAGTGTGGAGGGAGGGACTGGGAGAGCTCCTGGAGAGAATCCAGCTGTGCCAAGGCACAGAGAGAGAACTGGGGGACCCTCAGGCCACAGATGCAACTGAAAAGGGGTGAACACGTGGACTCCCCTCCAACTGGGGAGTGAGGACTAGAAAAACAGCCAAAATAAATCACACTGGCAAAGTAATTAAAGAAGTTGAAGAATCAAAGCCAAGCAATTGCTTAATCTAGATTAATGTATAAAGGTAAAAAGAAACAAGGATGTCAGGGTGTAGCTTGTATTTTTAGCTCCTGGAAAGAGGGTGAAGAAAAGATGGTCTAAGGGGAAATCATTACCAGCCTAACAGGAAGGTTAAAAAAGGAACAACAGAGGCACTGTGTGAGCACATACACAATCATCTAAAGAAGAAAATGCTCTATTTTAGATAGAATCACACCAGCCAGTCTCAGAAAGAAATACCATTAGTAGAAATAACTGCAGCTATTGAATTGTATAAGAAAGAATATAGTTTTAGAAAGAATATAAATCCTTCTCCCTTGGGATTTAACCTGCTGCTGACTACTGAGGACAGGAGGATACACCACCACGCTCACAGGGTGGTCGTCAGAGCACACACCAGTGGTATTTTTTACATAAATCTCCCTCCAGATTTTTATCTGCCTCACAGTCCCTGACACCTGCACCAACCCCCAGCACTGCCAGGGCTACAGAGGGTCTCCAAGGAAATCATTCTGAAGGTGCTTGGTGTGAGTGTCAGGATGCAAGGCTGACTAGAGACAGACCAAGTGCAGAAAGATTTAAGAACTGTCTGTTGACACTTAAGTAACAAATTGACACATGAACAGTTTAACGTTTTTCCTGTTCAACCAGTCAGAAATATCCAAAACTGAATTGCCTGTAAATCTGAGCACTACAGAAAACAAAACATTTTAGAGGGTGCATTTCTTGGCAGGTGTCTTGAAAAAAACAAAAAGTCACAGATTGGATAATAGATAAATAATGAATAGCAAAGTATTCACACAGATGAATACTTTGAGACAAGGCAGAAACCACCACTGGATTCTCAATATCTGTGAAATGCTAAAGTCACTTCTGGCTTGTGACACCCTAACAAAGGCATTCCTGCTCTCCTGGCTAAATTGGACAAGGGCAACCTGAAGCTACTTTGCAGTCATAATCTGCCATCCACACTCAAAATCATCTGAAATTCCTAACCCAGGCTACATTCATTTACAGTTGAAGAATTAACTAAATTAATAACAGGATTGCATTACACTGAAATGACACTCACCATCTGCAATGTCATTTTTCCAGAGAAAGAGCTGGTTTAAGCAAAATTCTGGATCTATGCCTGAAATGACATCACATTCTCCAAAAGAGAATCACAGTTCTACCTCCTCCACCACACAGTGCAGTCAGTGCCATGCTGGGCTCCTCACCATCTCAGCACTAAAGCTCTGCAGATCCCAGACTCCCAGAGACTTCCCACATCCCTGGCACTGGTGTCCACTGCCTTACCTGCCGGGCTCCTGCTGCTCCACAACCACCATGGGAAGCAGCCACAGCGTCCAGGAGACCGAGAACAGGGACATTCCTTCCCCAGCACCCTTCAGCTCCACCAAAATAGCTGCAGTGCCCCAGTTTCTTTGCTGCTGTGATTCATATCCCATAGAATATGGGATAGTGCAGGTGGACCTGAGCTGCAGCCCAGCAGGGCTGGGGTGAGGGAACAGCCAGCCAGGGGCCACTGCCACCAACAGGGGCTTCTACAGCTCCATGAGGCCACAGGCACACACACGGGACAGGCTGGGAGTCACAGCAGCCCCCAGGGTGGCAATAAGTAAAATGTAAAGAAGGAGACTGGAGAAGAAACTGTCCTGCAGGAGCACTGGCCCTGCTTGTTTTGGTGGCTGCACTTTTCCTCGGTCCATGAGGCAGAGCCAAGCACCTTGGCTCTCCCAGCTGTTCCCTGCTCTGCAGCTCAGGCTAATCCACAGCCCGGGAATTAGGGAGACGGCAGAGAAAGGCAACATGGATCCTAAGCCTCTGCTTGTAAATAAAACAAATTGAGTAATTCTTACAAATGACACAATGCAAATAGGTCTTTGAGAGTCACATGTCCCCAGTGTTTACATGAGGTTTCAGTTTCAAAGCATTAAGACATTTTTGAGAACAAATGCTCTGACTAAAATTTCAGCAGCCCTCAACAGTGAAATTTAAACAAGTTTCTCCCCAAGATTTCTTCCCCAACATCAGTATATACAGACACTGTTTTCAGTGCTGCAAATCCACACTGGCTGCTGTGCCCTGCTGCCTTCAGCCACTTTAAACATTCATGATTCTCCACTAGAAATGCATTTTCTAGTATGTCTGTCTTGCTGCCTCAGTGACTTCTTTTTTTTTAATTAAAGAGAGAGGATTTGAAAGGATTTGGAAGGGAAGACCACTACACTCTGTGAGTACTGTGCAAAAAGCTCTTGTGCTCCCAGGCAGTACACATTCTCCATCAGACTTTTCCCATGTTTTGGTTCCACTGTGACTCCCAAACAAGTTCAGGGTAATTTTTCACTTCCTGACTAATTGGCTGTTTTGTCAATGAACACGTTGTCAAAGGTTCAGGGTTACTAAAAGCTGAAGGTTTTAAGTGGTTTTTCTTGCCATCTCTTGCCCATCCAACCATGTTTTTTGAAGTTTGATTCAACGTCACAACATGTAATGGCACAGAAAGGTCTGAAACAGAATCTGTAACTACGATCTGAGGCTGTCTGGGGAACAGAAGTGGCTTTTTTGAAACCTTCTCCAAACACAGCACAAGCCCCACGATGGCAGAAAAGAGAGGTCTCTCTAGGGAAGGGCACCCTGCCTGCCATCCATTTTCAGCCTCACAACACAATTATTTACTTCAAATGCACGATAACCCTACCAAAAGATTTGAATTAGGTTATTTAGGCATGAAAGGTAGCAACAATATCCATCAAAGCAAAACACACCAACCAGCGTGTGAGATGGCAGAGGAGGAACTGTCAGCCTGACATTTGTGACCCAGGCTATTTGTCTTGGACAAGACTTTGTAGTGGGAAGTCCCAGCTTGGGCAAGACGAAGAAAAAGAGCCACAGACATATTTAGAGATTTACAAAATTAATAACTAAAAAATCCTATTGCCCTGGAAAACTATTGAGTCTAAAAATATTTTAAATGGGCTCAGTCCAGCATCCTCTTGCCTCAGCAGATCTCCAGTGCACGCCTGTGCTGTCAGATCTGCCAACTTCACTTGCAAAACTCATCTGTTATTCCTCTCTTCAGTTCGCACGGCACAGGACGGGGTTGGGAATGGAAAAAAAGGAACTTTAGCAGGGACCATCAGTGGTGGAAATGCTCAGTTTGAAGACCACAAGCCAGGCTGCAAAATTAATTTCTCTGTATAAGTTATATCTATCATTCTTACCCTTAGGAACATCCCGAGTAATGACTTTTTTTGTTTGCTTATTTTTAATAGGATACTGAAATTAAAAAATTTAGCAAAATTGGGTGTCTGTAGCACTGTATTCTCCAGTATCTTTGGAGAACACAACTCTGCCAAGTAAGTGTTCCTGAACTTGAAAAGTTACACTCAATCTTTTCTTATCTTTTGAATTTCAAATAAAATGGTGGTGGTGGTGGGGAGAATAAATGTGCCAATCCCAGCTGGATGGCATTTTGAACATCACGGACATAACTTTGCTGCTTTGGCCTCTTCACATTTCCTATAGGGCTGTGAAATAGTTTAATTTCTCTTTATAGATAATGTCATCTCCAGTGTGCCACTTGGAACAGCAGCAAAGACACTTCCAGCTCTTCCTTTGTTAAAGAAGCTCCCTCAGCCTTTGCATTCCCCACCATCTCCTTGGGATCGAGTCCCCAGCGTCAGACCTTGCCCTCCTGTCAACACTGAGCAACAAATCTCTGAACAGCAGCAGAAGATCCACGTGAGCATCCTGGAGGCAACACACGAGCCACAGGACCCTGCTGTTCTGTGAGTGTGGGGAGGGGAGAACACCCCCGGCGTGTGAGGGGGTGCACAGCCCCCAGGAACGGGGGCAGACCCTGGGGAGCAAACAGCCTGACAGTCAGGAGCAGCATTCAGCTCTCAGCTTGGCAGGGAGATCAATTCACAACAACACAACTCTCTCCCCAAAGCTCCCTTTGTACACTGGAGTCGCTAAAAGTAACACTTGAAATTACTGTCAGGGGAAAGACTGGAGCAAAACAGTCCAGGTTGGTTTATTTTGGGCCATTAACTGCAGTTTGTGTCTGGCCACTTCAGTTCCCCCAATAACAGGAAAGCTGCTGTTCCTCACAGCAACACTGATGGGGGTTATTTTATTTCTCTAAAGAAGTTGAACCTGGGAAGCCACAACCTGTCAGGGTGGGAGAGCACACGGTCCCAATGCAGAGGGCAGGACCAAACCTGGGATCAGAAACCAGCTGCCACACAGACTGAGGGTGTTCTCCTCGGGTGGGCAGGGGGAGAGAAACCTTTCATCCCTCAGGGAGAAGTTATGAGGAAATGAGATTAGAGTGTAAATGTTTTTATTGCCTGTTTAGCCATCTATGGAAATCTGTGTCCATGTCAACACCATCACCACCACCAACAGGACACGATCACTGAACTCTCTTGTCAGTGCAAAGAACCTGCCTGGTTTTCAGTCTAAAACTATACTTTTAGTAGCCTAAGAATGTCAGGTTATAATGCCACTAATATAGCTTATTCCACAGTTCAACCAAAATTCAACTCTATAACCTGAAAATTTTGTGTTAATGAGAAAAATTCTTCTTTTAAAAAAAATCCATAAATGCTTTGTGCACTGAAAGAGCACTTGGTTCTCTTTGCACAGCTCCTTTGCTGTGGAAACAAAACTCTCTGTATTGGGCCTTCCCAGTGACATTTGCAGACTCCTACACTTGCTCCGTTCAGAAAAGGTTCTTACTGGCCTCTAAAAGTTAGCTCATCATTAACTGACTGCAGAAATACATTAAAGAAAACAACAACAACATAAAAGAACATTCTTGAAAAGGCTTGTTGCTTGTTTTGAGGGAAACAAAAAGTAATTAAACCTAGCTAAGACTTTTTCATTGAGCATTTTGCTCTAAAGCATTGAGAACTCACAGAACAGCAGAACCACCAGTGCAGAACTGTCAACACGAGCAAAGGCTGTCCCTGAAATTCAGTGGACAAATACTACCAGGCAGTTTCATGCTTCACAGAGACAAAATCCAGAGGTTAAATTTAGAATGATGATTTCTGCAGGCACTCAGATGTTTCTGCTCTAAATTTTCGAGAAATTGCAAATTACAACTTGGCAGACTTTAAACTGACCCAGCATGTGTCTTGTGCAATCCAATCATGATCTGTCCTGTTACTCTGCAAAGCTTAGGGAAAAAACATCATGCCTTTGAACACATGATTTCAGACAACTGACAGAGACATTCCATCAGTCTCTTCCATTTTGATTACAGTAGCAAGTCCCAACATGCTTTTATTAGCAAAACAACCAAAATCAGCCCTTAGGTACACGCACAAGAATTCCACACCACTTCAAACATCACTCTGCAATTGCTGTGATAGGTGTAAATGTTACACTCTTTGCATTTAGCAGAGACCTCAGGGATTCAAGTGACTTTCCCAATGCCCCAGTAAAGCAGTGGCAGGACTTGGAAGAGCAGTTTGTCATTTACTACACACACCAAGCATCCTCTCCCCCCTTTTCAGGTTTCCACCCTTTCCTCAGGCTTCATTAGTTTCATTTGAGCAGACACTGCATTCCTGGCTGCTTTTGCTATTCCCCCTCTGTTGCAGGACACAGCCCTTCCCACAGGTCAGCCTGGCAAACTGTCACAGGGAACCTTCACACCAATTACCTGTGCATTCATGAGATTCAAATTAGCAATTCAATATCTGAATATGGGCTGGTTAAACTCTGGAATCTAACTCACAATGTGTCCTCTTTTCAGGCATCACGTTTTTTGAGCACTCTGCTCTTTTGAAAGTCAAACTGATGTGGGCTCAGGAACCTCGTTTTTTTTTTTTCCAGAGAGCACAATGGAGCCCCTCTTCTGTCAGGCAGCAGAACACACACAGTCTGTTCTCGGGAAGAACAGGAGCCAGGAAGGACAAGAAGAACATTACAGGACACCAGCAAGGGACCCAAACCTTTCTGCAAGGTAAGGGAAAGCTTTGCAGCCCTGCTCTATAAAGCAGCTCCTCAGCACTGAGCATCTCACTCTGCACACCAAATTCCACCATATGGTTTGGCTTTGAAGGAAGAAAACCACAGGCAGCTGCCTTTGCCACTTGGTTTTTCTAGAGCTTTAAGAGACATAGGAACAGGCTGTGGAGGATAAGGGAGTTCATTCTTCTCTCTCTCTCTCTTAAAAAACAAACAAATTAACCAGTCAACCTCCCCAGCCTTCACACTACATACTACATGGCCACCTAAAACACCCAAAACCAAATGGAAAGGATAGAGGGTCTGAGAGCACCTCTCTTACAAATCAGAAGAGACACTGGGAACTCCCAGATGACAGGAGGGCACGTGCCTGGACCCCAATCACACCCCTCAAACAAGGTCTCTTCAGTCTGCTCCACACTAAGCTCCAGCCACCCAACAGCAGTTTATAAGTCCTGGGAGTTCATTCAGGATGGCTGCTTTGATCCTAGATCTTTTCAGGAGATTTTTCAAAGTTTGTTAGAGTATTTTCAGCTGGAAAGGACCCACAACAATCACCAACTGCAACACAAGAGGAACACAAATAATGAAAGCAGGGGAAGTACAGTAAATCCTGTACTCCTCAGCTCTCTGCCAAAATTCAGTTTTCTATAGGCTGTGCATGAGACTTGCTACTGTGCTGTGTGATGAGGGCAAAGGGAGCTCATTGAGACAAGGTGCACCTGCTAAAACTGGCACTAAAACTACTGCAAGTGACTGGTGCCCAGCACAAAAAGCCAGTCCTTGTTCTTCTGGCACAAGAGGACTCCTTACTGCGAGTGCCACGTACAGCTCAGACATTTATAAGCAAAAGCAAAGACACTGGCCAAGGGATTTGTATTAAAATACAGATTACAGCTCACAGGGTGAGGGAAATGGCAAAGGGAGCAGTGAGTCCATGGCCAGCCAGGCTCTCCCCAAGCAGCCCTTCCTCTGAAGGAGCTGCAAGGAGACAGCCTGAGCCAACAGTTTCTACAGCAACTGCAGAAGCACCAGTTCAGTGATACTCCGAGCCTGCAGTAACTGCAGAAGCGTCAGGAAATGGATACTCCAGAAGGAACCTGTCACAGTTTCACCTGGACTGCCTCCACCTCCCTGGGCAAGCCATTGATCCCAACCAGCTGAGCTCCACTCTCTACTTGCCCATTCCTTGCAAAGGCTTCTGAATCCTCTTTACCCTTAATGTCCTTTCAGTACACTTGCTCCCCTTCAAAATTTCATGGAATTTGACACAGGCGTGAGAGAAAGTTTTGTAGACACGGTGCTGGAAGGATGAGTGTCCTCATCCCTCTGTGTGTGGGGCTGCTGCAACTCCTCAGGGAGGGTGGAATGCTGTTATGACAATGGCCCTGTGCTCGTGCTGCACCACTAAAAGCACCCTTGGAAGCATCTCAACAGGAACCAAAACAGAGGCTGGTTACCACCCAACTGCACAGAAAGAGCAGAGCCATTTGTAACGGGGTGACTTCAACACTGATGTGCAGAGGCCATATTAAGGAGCAAAACACTGCACCTATGCACTTTGGTAAGTGTCTCAACTAAGAACTGTCATTCACCGAAGGATGTTTAGGGCAGGACATCTCTCATTACCCTTTTAAGAATGTGCTGTAGATTCTCAACAGTTACAGCTCCATCAGTTCCACATAAACACCCTTTTGCACGAGTTTTTCCTTAACTCTGCAGTTTTACTTTGTTTCACACAAACTTGGCACGAAGCTCAGGCTCCTGACCCACAGCAAGAAGTTAAACAACACTGCTCATGTGTTTTTAGAAGGGTCAGGAAGTTTCCAGTTTCAGGCTCATCAGTGTTCCGGGTGGAGGGGAGCAACATGTACAGTCCCAGCTCAGGGACATTGAGTATTCAACCTCCCTGCAAAGAGCAGAGACCTGGCAAAGATGCACTTCCTAAACTGCTCTTTTTATTGGTTTATTACATGAGGCCACATCCACAAAACCAGATTTTTGGTCAAGAGTTCACTACTTATATAATACTGACTCCCAGCTACCTGCTCCAAACAATATCCTCTATCTCCTGGGCTAACAAAAGGAAAATTACTGAATTCCCTCAAAAGATAAAGCAGACTGCATGAAAATAGTGGAAAAGGATCTCATTCCCACACTAATGGTAGTAGAGAAGAAACATAAAGGCAAACATATTTTGTTTTTATCTTTGTGCCTTTTATCATGATTGTTTCAGATAGCACCATCACTATTGTGACAGTTATTTCTAAAAGGCAGTATGAAATCTAAAGTGGAAAAGTGTCTTATAAGTTGTTAAAGCATCAGCATGCAAAGATGACTTCTAGATCAAATTTATTCCTTAGCAGGCTAGTTTTGAAGGAATAAACAGTACAGTTCCAGAGAACCACCTTTTAATACAAATTAATATTAAAAAGTTACTTATTTAGCAACTATGCACAGTGTCGGGTTCCACATAATCTGCTAAGACTAAAAAGTCAACCAAATTTTTTAAATTGTTGAAAATACCCCGGTTACAGGAGGTTCTTAAGCGGCTCCAAGGTGGGTGTCATGATTCTTTTCTCTTACACAAATTTAGACAACTGTGTTCTCTCTCCAGCCTCCTGGCCATCTGTAGAGATGAGGAGGTGTGTACAGATGTGGGCTCAGAGCAGAACAAACTACTTCTCTGAGCTCATATTTTTGGCAGTCACCAATTTCACCCTCACCCACCAGAAACAGAGAAGTTATCAGTTTTGTCTCCCCCCCTTTCCCAGTATTTGCCTTTCTTCCTGGCTTTTCTAGAACACTTGTCACCATATTTACTGGAGTACAGTTATCACTGGTTTTAAAATAACCGTTTTTCTAAGACGGAGAAATATTTCAGGTCTTTATAGGGGAACTTCAGACACAAAGAAATTAAAGTGTGCGGTAAATCAGCGGCAGAACCTGAAAAGGGGCCAAATGCTCCCCTAATCAATACTTGCAGGTTAATCACAGAGTTGCTCAGTGCCTGATGTTGAAGGGTTTTACCCACTGGGCTTTTTAGCAGTTTCCAGTTTTGGAAGGAATGCTCCCAGTTCTCCTGGACGCCCCATCCCCGTTACCCCTGTAGGCAGCACCGCATTTCAAGGCTGGTGCTGCTCTTTAAGGTCACCCAAATGGCACAGCTGATCACTTCAAAGGAACAGATTAAGTCTCTGTATGACTGGGTAACCAAAGAAGCCCTAATCTGTTTGCCAAGTCCAATTATCCAGACGTGGAATCAAGAGATCATGAAGCATTAGGACACTGAATAACTGCTCACCAAACAGCTTCAGCTCTCTGGAAAAATGATAATCAGTAAGAGTCTATGGCATGGAAAAGAAGTCCTTCAAAGCAGAGGTGGGGAGAAATCAGGCCTTGAGCATTTATGTTTTCCTCTCATCTCGTGTTGAGCTAAACCAGCTAAAGAGCAAAGGGGAAGAGATTGGGATTGGAAGTAGAAGAGGAGTAGAAATCCAAATGTTCTGAGTCTGTATCTATGCATTTACAAATTCCAGCAGATACCTGAGATTACATCTGGGATCTTGTTTCTCAGTTTAGCAAAGGTCTTTGAAGCAAATAAGATGAGCCCAAGCTCCTTCCCTCCAGTGAGAGTCCAGGCATCAGCTCCAACAGGTTCTCAGGTAGGATTTCAGCCTGGTTTACTTAAGGGAAAAAAAAATCTCCAGTTCTCACTGCACTTATTGTTCAGCAAAGCAACTGCAGAAGCCAAGAACTGAGGCCATACAAATTCTTCTTTCTCTTTGTTACAGGGTGAGGAGTTACATAAGTAACATTCATCTCAAGTGTTGCCCATTAGCAGAAGACCCCACCTAAGCACATCTTTCCTGTCTTTATATACAAAGAAAAATTAGCCAGTCAGGTTTCTGGAATGCAGTGTAAAGTACAGCCCAACCTGAAATGTCTCTTACTAATCTACTCTAAATCAGTCCAGGTGTGGTTCTGGGTGCACAACTGCCACAATATACGGTGTTATGGGGCTAAACACTTCCCACATTTTCATGGGTACCTTCTGTTCCTCAGTTTTCTCTACAAGCACGTCATAGTCTTCCATATTGTCCTTTATGGATTCCTTGCAACCCCTTCAAATGGCCTGTTTGGAGATCCATGTTCTCTCCTTGTCTCACTTTCCAGTGGCTGTGTGTATTCTCTGGTGCTTCACTCCCTAAGTCACAGGCTGTGCACTGTCAGAGACTGAAATGGTTAATGATTTATGCATTCTAGGAGACTTTTGCAGGCTTTTGACTTGCATGATACCTCTGATGAGCAGTCGGGCCCCTCCCTCCCTAAAGGCGGGAACCGGGCGAGACACAAAAAAAAAAACTCAGCACAGACCCAGGAGTTGTTGGAGGCTCGAGGCATGGCCCGTGATATAATAACTCATAACTTCTTAGAGTATGGGGGCTTCCCCCCTTCACCCCCAGCAGATCAAGGCCACCACTTCAACTGACAGACATGGAAGCATCGCTGGACCCCGTGGGCAGTGACTATATACATCTGTCCACTCTCAGCTTTTCTTTCCCTTACTCTCCCTTGCTCTTATCCTGCCTTTCTCTCCCCTATGCATTTTCTTTCCCTCCCCAAAGGTTATCTCTGTGTCACATTGTTATATGACAGCACCCAAACTGCTAGCATGCCTGTTAATACAGAATTGTTAAAATAAATCTCGTCAATATATGTTTTCAAACACCGATTATTTAGTGTCGTTTCGCTTTAATCCACCCCAAAGGAATTATTGATAAAACCTGGGTTACCCCCTCCGCCCCCTTTTTCCTGGGGCGGGACGTAACATGCACCTACAGCTCCCTTTTCTATTCCAGAGTCCTTTCCATTAAAGTAAATATCCCCAGATTGTCACATTAGACATACAGCAATCAGGCAGAGCAGAGAAGGAAAAGTAGAAAAGCACTAAGTGCATGGAGGGTCAGGGAGCAAACTACAGCCCCCAGATCCAGAGAAAAAGAGCAAGTTGCCATATGCAAAGAGCTGCCCCTTCAGCACAAATTTATCAAAAACTAGGAATAAATGACTGATTTTTCTACTTGTCTTCATACTGGAAAATGGATGTCTTCACCCAGACTGAGCATCAGTCACACACCTACCAGAACATCACAGAGCCTCCTCAGCTGGAAAAACCAGCCACGAAGGTTGGGCCACTGCCACCTCTCCCCACGTGGCCAGAGAATTAACACATAAACAGCTGTTCTGTGCATTCAACTTCAAAACTGATCAGATGTTAACACACAGTTACTCAGCAGATCCACTGATAACGTGTCAGTTGTGGTTAATGAAAACCTGCACAGCCCAGTCCATGGATCCAACCCACACCAGGTGATCATGCTGCTGCTCTGTCAGAAACACAGCACCAGCTGACACTGAGAGCCATGGGGCAGGCACCTCAAATGCTCCTGATTTTCTTTTTTAATATGAGCTGTAATTGGTTTTTTGAATTGGCCTGTTTGTACTGTCCTAACCATAGGCTTTCACCCAGTCTCCAGGTGATGTGTTTGGTCCAACTGCTCCCTGTCTTGCTAAGCAGGCTGTAAAAAGACCTTTTAAATCAAACACCTCCTTTAATCAGGCACATGCCAGCTGGCAAGCTTAAAATATCCCCTACTTCAATAATATTAGGCAATGAAATTCAGTGGAGTGCAGCATGGTGGCTCATTTCCTTGATGACTTTGGTACACTCTCCTTATGGAGAGAGATCATGTTTATGGAAAGGGTTAAATTGGTAACTGGCTGCTGCACCATAACAAAAAACAAAGCCTGCAGTAAGTAATGAAAATTTTTATGCCTCCTCCATGACTTACCACAATCCACTGTTACAGGAGCCATCCCCTTTCAAATATAGACTAAAAAAGGTGAATTGGTTCCACAGTACCACTGGAACCAGGTGAAGCCGTTTCTTGGCAAACTCTCACTGGAAGCACTCGGAGTGCTGGATGCCCAAGAAGACCCTCCTGGCAGTCTCAGCCTCCTCAGCCTGTGCAGGGCCAGTTTTGGCACAGCCCATTTGTGGGCACACAACCCAGCTGCACAGGGGATGTGGGGTTGGCCTCCCACAGCCCCGGGGGCTCTTGGTGCCTTTCCAGAAGGCAGGTGCTGCCAGCTGAGAACTGGGATTAGGGAAGATTTTGTTTGGGGTCATTCTCAACCCAGGCCAATAGCTCAGGAGAAACATCTCCCCATGGAACATCATCCCTGTGTCTCAGGGAACACTAAAGACTCCTGAGGGCCCAACACTTGAGACGCTGTGCCAACACTCCAATCTGCTGTGTGACAAGTCAAACTAGGAATGTGTTCAGTGAAAGTGTCTCCCCTCCCAAGAATCAGAGGGAAAAGAGAGAAGGAAAGGCCCTAAACTCAACCTGCCCTTTTCTGCTCCTACTGGGGGGCAATTTTTGTGAGGCAGCACCAGTTTCTCACCATTGAATTCATTTACTGCCAAGCCAGCTGCCAAGTTCTGCCTCAATCACTATTTCACTTCAAACTTTAAGGTCTAAAATCTTAATCAACTCTGGTTTATAATATTTCTTCAAGTTCTGTGACATCTCGTGGCTACCCACAAGAAAGAATGTTCTTCCCAACCAGATATTCAAACATTTAATCTTTCAATACGGTCAAAGTAAATGCATAAAAAGAACAAGAAGCAGCAAAATTTAATTTACTGGGATAGCCAAACATACCCCAAGTTTATTTTCTTTTTCAGCATACAATTAAGAGTAATTTAATTCCCCTACGTAGGCATTACATGAAAGAGAAACATTACTGTGAGAAGACCTCAGTACTATTGGTACACAAACCTTACAACAGATAAATTAGACCTTAGGAAAACAGCATATAATTTACATTTTGTTATGTCAATCACCAGCAGCATCTTAAGGCTCTTAAACACCATGCCAAACCACAACATAAGGGAACTAATGTAAATCAACCCATGTGGCAGGATCACTTCAGTTTCCACAATCCAAGAGATCCCCTAAAATGGATTTCATCAGATTATTCCTCTTCAAGATCCATTTACACCTTTAATTTGCCAGCACGTTACGACAGTATTTTACTCCAAGAGCTATGAAGTTGTGCATAGTTCTAGAAAAACCAACAGTGTAAAACAAGGACATGAATTAATCCCTGGCCTTCCCTTGAGAAGCCAATGGGCAAATGTGCAGGTGGCCCAGAAAATCCCCCCTTGGATTAGTCCCAGAGTTCTTGGGTTCAGCAGAGGGACAGAAAAGGACTGTGCTTTACATCCCTTCCCCAAGAGCAGAACAAACGACATGCCCCGGGTTTGTTCTTTCCTACAGCACCTCGTCCACATTCCAGCTCTGCCCAGGAAAGGTCAGGATGGGCACTGCAAAGGAGAACTGTGAGCAAGGCAACAGCCCAACATGGCCCAAGGATTCTCTGTCCTCTCCCATTCCATGGTGTTTTAGAGGGAGACCACCGGAAACAGAAGGTAATTTAGCTATGGAATAAAGCCCAAAAATCCAAAGAGCAACATGTTTACTCACTCCTATAATTCATAAGGATTCCTGTGCAGGTTTTTTGTTAAGGGACATGAATTGAGGTTTTCAGAGAAGTTCAGTGGGAACACTGTCCCTCTGTGAGCTGGAACAGACACGAACTGGGACTGTTCTCTGCCATCAGTGCTCCGTGAAAAACTTGCACGTAAGAAGGAAAAACTACACAAGTGCCAAAAAGGGCACAAGTACAACTGAAAAAATATTGTCTCTGGCCTTGCAGCTTGTATCAATTATTGCTTTTAACAAAAGATTATCAGCAAATATCAGGTAGGGCAGCTCAGGCTTCTGCTTCCTTAAACATCAAGTACAAAGTTTCTGTTTATCAAATCACGCTGCAAGTGCAACAAACGTACTCAAACTCTGCTTTCCACAGAAAGGTTCGAGACTTAAATTTTTCTGCTCTTTCAATCTGTATCAGTTTTTCCTGTTGCTTTAAACAGGAATTTTCCTTTTGGTTTCATCCCTGCAGCACACTCAGCAGCAGTGCAATCTTCACTTGCCAACACTGCTGGGTTACAGCGAATCCAGGACACTACAGCAGCCAAGTGCTCCTCATGTGGGTGTTGTTAGCTCAGTCCTCCCTCCCCCAACCCCATAAAATGAGGTACAGACCCCAAAATGCCATGCTGAGCTCTACTGTTGGCATGGTGAGAAACACCATAAATCCAGGCTCCCCAGGAGCTGGAAGGGAGCCCAGGGAGGTGCTGACTGACCCTCAGCCACCAAAACCTCCCAGGTACCTCTCCCTCACCTGCCCCCAGTGCTCCCCCTCACCCAGCCCAGTCTATAAAATACACCAACTGCCACAGTTCTACTGTTCCCATATTCACACTTACACACCTTGGCCCCTTGTAGGTGTCTGTGCATCACCCCAACCCAGGACAAATTTCTCTTTGTATTAATACTCAAACATGCTCACTGGGGCTTTTTACACACTCAGAAGCTTGTTATCCAGCCAGGCTCTTTCCCTCTCCCCTCTTTCCAGCCATGGATGTGCTCTTCAAAGAGCTCTATTTACATGCCAAGTTACAAAGTTCAGCTGCTTCCAAAGCAACGTGGAAAAACTGCAGCTTTTATGATTCTACAGTGAGGTTTTTCACAACATGAAGCAGCTCCTTTGACTAGTTTTTTTAATTTTTTTTTTATTTCCAAACAAGATTTCACAGTTCAAACCCCCAAAAAAATCTCAGTCCACCCACAGGCCTTTGAGGGCCTTCAAAAGAGAGCTCTGTGACCTCAAGCATCGTGTTCTGAATGAACATCCATGGAAAAGCTGCTTACAGGTCAGAAACAAGGGTCACCAAAATCCCCATATCCACTGGAGTTTAAACTGTTCTCTAATGTTTAGGCCTGGCACAGCCTGCCTTAAGCCAGCTTCTGTTGCACCTTTCCATTTGCTTACTTCATTCTCTTGCTTCTGAACCTCTGGTATGGAACCAGTCACGTCTGAAATTCCATCAGGACAAACCACAAGGCTGGATTTGGTCACTCCTTCAGCACCCTTCCTAAGAGTTACCCCCGGGGCTCCTCCACCCCCCAACACAAGTATTTCTAGATGGAATCTTTCTGCACTTCCCCAAGGCATTAAGTCCTAGATTTCCACCCCGTATTTAGCCTGTCAACCACATGGAGCAAGAACTGGCACTTCATCAGCATCATCTTTGTGCAGAGATGTCAATATTGCCAATAGCTCAGCAATAACAACTAGGCTGGATGAACAGCCCAAGCAAATAGAACTCCTTTATAAAATCAGGACTAACAAAATCAGCAAGACTAAAGATTCTGTTTGAACTAGAAATGCCAAAGCAGCACCAGACTGGCACCATCCGTGATGGGATTCTGAGAAACAGCAAACTGAAACCATCAAACCCTCACTGTTAGCAATCCTTATCCACTCTTCTCCACAGCTCTCCCTTCATTCTACACCAACAGGAAGCAAAGGAAAACGATTGGAAAGTTTCAGAGAGAAGAAAATGCTACATGCCAAGAACTTCCAGAGGCAAGTCCAACTTCCTAAAAACGACCAGGAATTTAGTAGGAGCTACAGCCAGCCCCTGTCTGCTGACATGGATTTCTCCTTCCTCTCTGCAGCAGCGGGAAATAACACACCCAGCTTTTCCACCTTTCTGATGGCTGTTGAAGAGGTGGCTGTTTAAATTCTTGGAAAACACTTTTGTGAGACACAACCTTGTGCACAGGCAGGAATAGAGCAATGCAGCCTCTCCAGAGACACCACCAGGCCTTCCTCCCTTCCCATTCCAAAAGTTTTTATGGCCTCCCCTCCAAGTACAGACAGAACTGCTCCATCCTCCTTCCTTCCTTCCTCTCTGCCTCCGGTGCCGCTTCCTTTGGGTCTCAGAAATGGTTACCATGTCTTTAAAAATCAAAGAAAACCAGACCAAGGTTTGCAAACAGTCCTTCCTTCTCTGTTCTTTCTAAGGATGTTAGAAAGTATTGTGCATGAATGGAAGAAACTATTTTCATTTTCTGTCTTTACCCTACAAGGCCAGGCTTCAAATGCTTGTTAGAACACCCAGCTATTTTAAATTAAGTTAAATAGCCCAGCTATTTTAATTAACATACAGTTTCACAGACATTTTTTGGAACTGGAGATCTGAAATACCTGCTGTTCCTGACAAGAATCCCCACTTAAGTCTGTCTCTGCTTTAACCACACTTAGCATTTATGAGTTTCCAGGACAAAGTATGATAAAACTTCTAAAAACTGTTAATGAACTATAGGACACAGATAAAGGAAAAAAATAATTTGGACACATCCAGGACCCCCATGTTACAAATTTCCTGTTCTGCCATGCCCTGTGCAGGAGCTGTTTGGAATGTTCGCTCTCTTCTTTCTGTAAATCATATGGCACCATTTTCAGAGCCATGTAAATAAATAATAAGACATTTAGCCAGATAATGCATGTTTCTACTTTGACTCAAAACTCAAGTTCTGCTCTGCTCAGTAACCCGCGTGTCACTCCCTGGACATCCCTTTCACACTCTCACTTCCAGAAAAAAATAGCGGGTTAATGATTACCAAAACCCAGTGCACGGCGAACGCGGAATGAACGAGGAAAAAAAAAACCCCAAACAAACTATGAACCAAAACACAGCCGGGTGTCCCCAACGCCGGGGGCCCGGGAGGGATGCTCCGACCGCGGGAGTGCCGGAGCATCCCCGTCCCACCACACCTGGGGCCGGCGAGACCGCCCGGGGACAGCGCCCCGGCCCCGCCGCCGCCCGCGCGCCCCGGCACAGGTAGCGCGCCCTGGACAGGTAACACCCCCCTCCCCCCCCCAGGTAACGCGCCCCTGCACAGGTAGCGCGCCCTGGACAGGTAACACCCCCCCCCC